GGGCAAAACTTACCAGACATTTGAAGAGATGTACTAATGGAGAGTAGAAAAATCAGGGACAAGTAGAGAGACATGGCAAAAATTTCACTCCTTTCTTCCCTTGACCTCGTAAGACCAAAGCACTGCCTTGCGAGAAAACCCCACTGTACTGAAGTGGATTAACAAACCCTTTTTAAGACTCAACAACTACAAGGAAGTTCAGAGCATCAAATAAGGAACTGTGTCATGTCACATGAGTAATTTTGAAATAATATACTAATGAGTAAACTTTGTTTCCTAAGCTGGTTTTTCTAATGTATAAAAGTTTCCCATGGAAATATAAGATCTAACAAGTATGATTTTAGTGTGCATTTTTTAAAGACATACCTTATAACTCAGAATCATTATTTTTACCAAAAGGTGAGATTACTGCCTCATTTTCAGAAATAAATAAAAAAGTAAAAAATAAGAGAAAGATTTGTCTGTATCAATACATGATGAAAAAAGCCAGAGTGCACTGCAGTATTGTAAAAAATCTGCTGGGACACCATGCAAATCAAATAATTATGACCTTGGATTTAGAGAGAAACAGAATTTTTCATGCCTGAAATTCCACAGAAAAGGAAAAAAAAAAAAGAAGAAGCTGTAGAAAGTTAGATTTGTGTTCTTCAGGAGACACGTATTCTTTCTTTTGCTCCATTCTTGACTATGTGCAGGAATAATTACCCAAGTGACAGCTGAAAAAAAAATGGGAAAGAAAACACAATTCTAGGAAGAAAAAAAGCTGTAACTGTAAAATACTGGATTTCCAATTATTGCTAGTGAGGAAAACTAAACTGATGAGGAATATTGCCTCATTTTTCATGCCACTTGTCTGCAAAAATTTGCACCCCTAAAGTGTACACCCTACAGGCATTCTGACAAAATTCTCATGTGTACTTTGATAAAGCTTCCTCCATGATAGTTTAGAGAGCTCAAAAAACTTAGAGCACAAGGACAAGAAAAGGGACTCTGGTGGAAGCTTTGCATCACGTTTTGCACATGGGCTTTGAAAAATTTTGTTTCCCATACGTCCAGGAGAAGCTGGTCTGGCATACCTTCCCCAATATTGCATCTGCAGCAAAATTGCAGCTGATAGTGAATACCCTGGACACCCACACAAAGTTGTGGGATTTTTCTTCTATTACTCTGACTCAGATGTAGACCAATGACTGGGTCTGAAAATGTATGCAGGGAATTGGAGTAGAACAAAGGCACAGCAGTGAGGGAGAACTGTGGGACCTCAAGGCCAGCAGACACAGCTAGAGCAAAGCCGTGCAAAGAAGGGAGCCTGAAAAGGATACTGAGACCTGAGAAATGTGGAATAAATGAGGGCTGCTCCATAGAATTCAATTATTCACTAAGTTATGATCCATATGTAAGAATGGCTGCAGTCAAGCATTCTGGTATTCCCCAACACCAGAGTGTTTGAACATGCAACCTCAATTTTCCAACTTTCCTTCCTTCCTTGCTCAAGAGCAAGACAAATATGTCTTGTGGTTCTGCTGTACAAAACACCTCAGAATATCCAAATCTACCAGGGTGTAACAAGGACAATTACAGCAGAGAAAAAGAAACTGATTCTGTTCTGAACAAAGATCAGTGGTTGGTGAGGGATTGGTATTGATAATCTGTTGAGAGGCTGAACAAGAGTAAAACTCAGCTTTACCTCAGTGTTTGTGTGTTTGACCAGATTGCATCACAGCCCATAAAGTGGGAAAGAAAACCAGAGAACTGGGAAGAAGTGCTCCAGGATCTGCCATTTGGCGAGGCACAGCCTGACGTTTTAAAAGTGGCAAGGAACAAAAGCTGCTGGGGTTTGTGTTGAGTCAGCATTGTTCCTCTGGCAATCTCTGCTCCCAGGCAGGAAGTTACAATCACAGTGTGCAGATTCACCTCCTTTCTTCTAAAGTCCAAACTTTTTCAGAGAAAAGGGGAAACGAGAATTAAACACAAGTGTATCAAGAAACACAGCAACGTGAAGAGACAAAACCTTACACACCATTGAATATTGCCACCAAGTCACTCCTCAGGTGCTCACAGAAATGGATGTGTGAGGCCACCTGGATTCAACTGGACCCTTCCCTACATTTATTTTCAAAAAAACGCTTATATTAAAATATGAAATTAATTTTGTGATCATTTAGCTATAACTTGATATAAGATTTCAATCCAGAAACCCCACACATAGTACAATCACAGTTTCCAAGTTATGAACATTTATTTCTTTCAAAAAAAAAAAGCCACTCTAAACTTCAGTAGGAACATTCTAGTCAAAAAAAAAAAAAAGGGAACAACATTTCTATTTTTAAATTTTCATGCTACATAATGAATGATTTTTTTCTTTCATTTTTCTAAACCACCTGATCAAATGTAAAATCTTGGCAGCACCAGAGGATTATAGATATAAACTATTACTGATCCATTAAAACATTTTTTTGCCTTTCTATTCATACTCCCTTGTTCATACTATTAATCATCTTGGTTTTCAAGGAACTATTTTCCTTGTTTTTACAGCAAATATATTTCAGAAAAGCAAGAATCCAATTCCTTTGAGAATATATATATATATATATATAATACACACATGTATGCAAAATACAGCCTGAGACCTCCCCTAAGTAGTGTCATCTACTTGGGAGACAAAGTAAGAGATCACAAGAGCAACAGTTTGATTCTAAGGCACCTGACCAACCCCAATATAAGTACTAGTCAGTAGCAGAAAATGGTTGAAAGATTTGGTGAAGGATCAGCATACATAAAATATAAAATTAGAGTGTGTCCATATGAACATGACTCATTTCCAGTAAGACAGATTTCTTTTTTCCAGTCAAATAGAGAAGCATATTTTACTTATCTCTGTTCCTAAGTAAAAGCTTTCAATTTGATCTTATGTTAATTAGATAATGTTTAAAGTGTTTGAATTTGTTTGTATCTCTTCCTTCTATTCAAAAACTTGTGTTACAGTTTGTGTATAAAGTACCAGTGTTCTTCTTCTGCTCATGATGTGGAACTCCAATGATTCCATGTGCTGTAAATGCTACTATTACTACATTAATCTTTTTAGTGGGAAATCTGCTTCAATTCCATTGTCTTGAAATAGGAAATACTGTAAGCCATGCAGCTTAAATTTCCCCCTCTTCTGAAAATCTTTCAGGTCTTTTTAACTTACACTCTTTCTAAAATGAGCAGGCTCAGCAGCTCCATCTTCAGAGTAGGGCTTCTTATTTGGAAATTTCTTTAAATTTTCTATACCTGTTTGGACAGGAGATCAGAACTGACACAGGAGCACCTACATCTACTGCCAGCTATTAACTATCATGGCATTTTTAATTCTTTCCAACTCAGAGATGATGCTGGATTTCAGGAAAAATTAATTAATAAATGAGCTCAGAACTATCCAGGCTCCAGTAGCTGGATTCCCTTCTTGACACTTTTTAGTGATGTGCTTTATAAGTATGGCACAGAACCAGAAATGAGACATCCCCTCTATTTTTGTCTTCTTTTCAACCATACCTTTGCATATGTGCATGGGAATAAAGGTTATCTGGAAGAACGACTTCGTGTACAGATACCATTTTAAGATTGTGCAGAGCCCAGAAGAGGACTGACCTTCTTTTAGGTGAGACTGCACCTGTCTGGTGTTTGCTCAACAGCCAGCACAGTGAGGCTGGGGTTCCAGTCAGCCTCTCTTGGTCTTTCATTTTCTGTTTCACATAAATTTCTACGTGGCACGGCTCCTCCATATAGCATGACCCTCAGTAGCATTAATCAGTCAGTCAAGAGCTTTCTGTCACAAGCCACATCAGATGGCATTAAAAACCATTAGAGGTATTGATCCTTGAAAAAACATGCTTAAACAACTGTGCATTAAAAATGGAAACAGCAGTAGGAACAGAGCAAGGAAATAGCTGGGAAAAAGACACCAGAGCCAGAGAAAATAAGTTCCTGTACAAATTTCCCCATCTTACCTACATATGTATGTAATTTAAAACTTTTACTAAATCACTCAGCTCACATTTTTGTTTTGTCTCTAAGCAGATTTAATCCTGGGACAGATTCAGGAAAATATGGTTGATATAATATGTGATCACGACTTCTGCTGGAATGTCTCCCCTGTGATATGATCTTGTATTCACTTTATCATGTTACAATGTCTGATATAGATGAGACTATAAAATGCAAACCTATTTTAAAAATAAAAGACAGTATTTTTTTATTTCACAGAGCAAAATCTGAGACCACAAAATCAACTCTTGCAAACCCTTGTAAGCAAGCGAGGAATAACTCATGATTTAAATTTTACAGGATCTACAAAAATTAGGAATATAAACTCCTTGGGGAATATAAGATGTCCATAAATAGTAGCCAATTTAACCATTTTAGAAAGCAAATAAAATCAGTAGTAACTGTTATATTGGTAAAGCTAAATAGTTCTTTACTTGCATCACACATCCCACAAATCTATACTAGTTATTGAGAAACTGTCAAGAGCAGTACCAGCATGTGATCACCATTAAGAGCTGTGCAGAAACCTTCTGCTCCTAGAAGCCTTCAGAACACACACAGGCAATCTTCCTCCCTCCCCTCGGTGACTGCTGCCTGATAAGAAGGATATTTCTCCATGGCCTTCATCACCTCTCACCAGCAAACCCACTTGTGGCCAGCCAAAATTCGCAGCTAATATCAACCACACTTTTCACTCCAGAGGTCGGTCTCCAGATTTTACCCAATTAAAATCTAGAATACATAAACTGCAAGTACTCCATTTTCTGTGTTGTATGAAGTTGTAGGAACTGAAATATCATAAAGGTCTTTTTGCCCAAGTAGTTCAAAGGGGAAATGTGCCCAAATACAGACATATCCTATAGAGACTATGGCTGTACTTAAGTCCATGGGAATACTTGAAAGATGGTAAAATTAGATGTTTACTGAATAGCATGGTTTGAAACAATCTGATGCAGAAACGTCAAATCTTGTGCTTGTTCTTCAAGGGGCTCTTGGATTTTACTTTCTTTATTTTATCCATTTCTACTGCTCCATTTAATAATTAGCCAATATTATCACTTTTCTTAAGATCCACATTCACCAGTGTGATCATCAAATTCTGAGACCTGAAATCTTTCACTTTCTATAATGGCTACAAAATAAAATAACTGCAATGTATGACATTACACACACACAGAAACAAGCTAGTACAGTAATTGCACATGAGAAAATACCTTTGGCTTCATTCTAGTTGCATAATTTTAATAAAACAAGGCACATTTTATTTTATTACATTACATTTTATATTACATATTACATTTCCTTTTGTTACATTACAGTGTTGCATGTTCATTCTGCTCTATGTTGGTCACAAGATCCTTTGTGTCACTAATTCCAGGAACTGCATCACCATTAAAATACAGATTATTCTCAAAGCTGTCATTTGTTGGCAAGCAATTCTTTCTTCTTTTGTAGAAGAGATATCCTACAAGGCCACTTCCAACTAGGATGATAATACCAACAATAACTATAACTCCTGTTTTGCTGTGGTTCAGGGTAGAAGCCTTCTCATCTTTTGTCATTGCTGAAAACAAATAGGAAGAAATCAAAAGAATGCTACAGAAGTCATCTGATTACTGGAAGCAAGTTCTTTAGAATGCATGATCTTTTAAAAAGAAGGGGTTCATTTGTTTTGATGTAATGAGAAGAGGAGGTAGAAACATAACTTGATTTTAAATCACTAGTATTGCATGCCATATCACAAATAATTTATTTTTAATCTACATTTTTTAATCTACATTTGGAGATGCACCCAAATAGACTATATTGTGTACTGCTTGGAAACAGTGTCATCCTAGGAAACAGATACAGTAATTTGGTTTAAAAGAAAATGTAAAAGACATAATACAGAATAGAATATTTCTGGTTTAGATCTTATGTGGGACTAGTTTTTTTCTACTTGAAAGACAATATTCTTACCCATTGTAGGTATTTCAGCTGGTGCCATTTCAGATGCCGATGGCATTTCAGTTGCTGGAACTTGAAAATAATATTAAAAATAATTATATTTTTGTGTGATTAATTATTTCTACATTATTTATTTTTATATTTTGTAACATACTGAAAATCATGTTCTGAAAAACTATGCCAAGAAAAGCTGCATTTCTATGAAAATGTGTGACTAGATTGTGTCCTGTTTTGAGGTGAGTTACTATATAATCCTTGCATTGACTCTGGAATTAGGTTGAATCTGTGGCATTCCAGATAAGTAGACTAGACTGGCTGAAGATAATCATAGAAAAAAGTAATTAGCTTTCATCTGCTTCAGCTATTTGGTCAGCATCAAAACAGGTGAATGTCAGTATCAGCACAAATAATTGAACTAAATGGTGAAAAAGGAGAAGTTGCAATCTATTTTAATACTTTCTACCCACATCTATTAATTTTTGTCAATGACAATACAAAGAGATTGATAAATGGACTCTGAAAGGGTGGATATACTGAGATGCTGCAGTATTTCCTGTAAAAGATACAGTCATCATTACAAGCATTTGAGTAAGTAAGAATAATTTTGCATGAGAACAAATTTACAGAAAGGATAGCAGAATTTCTCTCATTTCCAGTATTGTAGAGGAAGTCAGTATATTGCAGCTACACATTTCAACTTTCTTAGGAAGCATAAGTAAGAGATTTTGATATTGCAATATATACTGGAAGAAATTATTATGATGACTTTTAGGAATACATATGAGCTAGATGTCCCTACTGTCAAATTTGCACATTCAGTTATTTCAGGACACCTTCAGTTTAGCACATCCAAACTGTGCTATTTGCTTTGCTTTTCATTCATTCATCTATTCACAACAGGAGGACACAGAGACAAAAGATCCCAAGCTGTTAAATAAGTCACACTTTATAAATACTCAATTCATAGAAACACTACATCATACTCAGAAAACACATGCACATGAGACTGGCAGAGGGAAATAAACAATGGCTACTCCACAGGCAGAGCAGAGGGGATGCCCTGAGGAATATGTTTGATAGATTTGTGTATGCAAGGCATGGTCCTTACATTGTGATTTCTCAACAGCTGTCAATAGAAAACACGCAAACTTGTTGAGTGTATACACTAGGTATAGCTAAGATATGAACACAGTCTTTTAAAAGCAATTCTTAAGGGACTTGACTACTGTCCAGAACTACTTTTTAAAAGAGTCATTCTGTCTTTTTCTTGGCATGGAAATGTGTATCCTTTGGCATTTATAAAAGCCCAGAACATGCACCTGAAAGGCATTGTGTGTAATGGCCATCTACTAATACTAGCTTATCCATACATGAAACTAATTCATAAATGCAGCACTTACTTTTTGGCTTTTTACAAATATATCCTTTGTAGGAAGAGCAATAGAAATTATTCCAATACCCAGAATCTGCATACATTTCAACGCAGTGCTCATTTTGCTGAGAAGAAGGCTCTCCTACATTCCAGTTGACAAAATTCACTGCACTGCCATCTAGCCACAGCCATAGTCCTAATTGAAAAGACATTGAATATGGAAAAAAAAAGATAGTCTTAATTACCATACTGACACCTTCACATGCTCCATATTTATTGCCTTCCTGAGAAATTTACTTGTCACTACTTTTGGAGACAGATCACTAAACTATTTACTTCTGACATGATATGTTGCCCCTAAGATTTTATGCAAATGATATAATATCAATTTTTGGGAAATGGCTGACAAATCTGACTTATGTTGTTGCAGAGGCAAGATAGTTCCAAGAAGAATGTCCCTCAAGTGATAGTAATGGTGCAGTGTCAATTATTTATTCCATTAATAGAAATAGTAATGTTAAAATGTAACTTCACTTCACCAGAATGCTCTTTATTCCAGTAATTTGTAGGAAGGTTTTGTGTTATTCTTTTCAAAGCCCACACTGAAGTCTTTCTTGGTCCAATTTTATTTCATTTGTTTTCCAGTTTCTACTCATTTCCATAAGATTTACACAGACGATTTTCCTTTTTATAGATCTCCTTCCAAAATCTTGTGATCGCTGTTGCTCAGCTATGCTTGGGACTTTCTGCTTCTTCCTTCCGGTTCTTTTTTGCTTTCTTTCTTTTAATAGTGCTATTTATTTAGAATAAATGTACTTCTTGTGACTGTACGTTGTACTCAAGGAAATTCTTAGGCTCAGAATGAAAATTGTATTTTGATTTTTATAAGATTCAATATATTTTGCTTTTGTTTTGGGTTCTTTTTTTTTGTAATTCCTGATACCCTTTTTGTGAGGACGTGGCAAGTGAATACAATCTGGATACACACATAAAGGTATGAAATTCAGCTATGCACTTATGCTGAAATTACTATTAATGACTATGTAGAGCTATAATGAAGAGCTGAAGAACTCTTGTGTTTATGGTCACTGTGAGAAGTGTGCTGCTCTACACTGCTCTAGAACCACTTTTAGAAATACTTTTTATGTCAACTGACCACATGAGTGAACCTCAGCTTTCCTCTGTGTGTCATAAATATAAATGACTACCCTCGAATTCTTTCCTTCACCAAAAATTTTCACTACTCCTGGTTAAGATTCAAGCGCTGTAATTGAAAAGTTGTCTTATCCCTAAGAAGTTTTTCATTGAAGTGTTTGGGTAGGCAGTTGAAAAACTAATCTTCCAAAACTCAAGAAAACCCCACCTGAACTATTTTGCAACCCTGCCACTGATAGTTATATTGGTATTTTTTGCCTGAACAGTAAAAGATTGTACTTTAAAGTCTACTATAAGGATAGAAATATCTATCTAATTGAATATTAATTGCATTAATGTGAAAGCAATAATCATCAAATACAGGATTTAATTGCCTATTCTGTCTTGCTTTATCTTCCTTATTACAGAATTATAATGTGAAATTTTCAACACTCGTGCCAAAAAGCTTGCAGTAATTATTCACTAGAAAAAAAGACATTAAAATTAGAGAAAGTACCATCCACATTTCTGTACATTCCTGTCCAAAATGTTGATGTTTTCCCTTCAAGTGGTTCAAGGTTGTAGGTCAAAAAGTTGGCTTCAGCCGAGTCTTCAACCGACACCAGAGAGGCACCTGGAAGGCACAGGGAAGGAAAGATTTCTTAGAGTTGTTTCACAGTGGAAAGCATTCTCATTGTCCTGTCAACAAACTGCTTTATGAAAACCCAGGAACAAAACTAAGTATCAGAAAAGAGAGGGAGAATCCTCTCACCCAGTGTCTACATTTGCCATGGGTTGTTAGGTTCTTATTGACCATATGACAATATATAATTCCAGTGAAGGTAAATCCATCTAAACCAGTTCTGCTGGAGAGTGGCTGAGATCTCTGCATAATCTAATGGGAGACCAGACACCTAAGTCACACTGCCACCAATGCCATAAAGAACAGTGCTACTGACATATAAAGTCCAGCATAATCAATCTTCATCCCTTTCCCAAAGAAGGAAGTTGAGAGAATTAAACTGCACCACAGCCCTAGTTTACTCATATATTATCCAGCCTAAACAGCTTTCACTCCAGTGGCATGAAACTGCAATAATCAAGGGAGAAATTAGATCAAGAATACAAAAGACACAAATTCCATTAATCTTTAGTGACGGCTGTGAATGAAGCTGTTTATCTCCCATCAGGGTCAAAGTATAAGATTTCCATTTTCATGATCTTCATTCCAGGCCACACAGCTCCTCTCATGCCTGGTCCCACATATATGAGACAGTGCAGTAGACAAAGGTTTTCCATTACCTCCCACATTAAGGCAATAATTGGAAGCAACTGTCTTGTCCAACACTTGGACCATACCCAGAATCACAAAAACACACAACACATGTTCAGCTTTCCACAGTTAGGAAAACAAATGGGTTTTGTTACTTGATACTTTTGATACTTATTTTAGGAAAAATAGGATTCTCACCTAGTCGAAGGCATTCTAAAGATGCCTGGGCCCAGTTTCTTGAAGAGGAAGATTCAATGTAGTAACAATGACCTCGGAAAGGGATCCAAGACCTGTGTCCTTCTGATTCAGGACACTTTCCTGGAAGCTGAGGGGGCTCAGTGGGAGCTTGAACTGATTAAAAATAGTTAAAAAAAAAAAAAAAAACCAAAAAGAAACACATGTGACTACTTCCTTACATTCACTGCCTTTTGATTTTTGGGGTTTTTTATATTGCAAATTTATTCAATAGGAGAGTAAATGGCAGAGTAGTGTGAGTCTTAGCTTTGCAAAATTTATATAACACTATTGATATAAAGTGACAGCTACTCACATTCACACTGGCTCTTTCTTATTATGTGTTTGCCCTTACTTTAAAGTAGCCCAATTCATCCTCAGTAAATTCTAATGATTTCATCTCTCTAGCTCTGGAAATAAACCCCAGCATCTCTAATGAGATGTTGATCAAATTGCAGTGGTCAGACTTCAAGTTCTTACCATCAGACTTTTTGCAAACAGAGAAGTAACTTTCGTTGCAGAATCCTGTCTTCCAGACTCCAGTAATGTCAAGATAGACACAGCCTAGTTTTTGCTTTGGCTCCCCTTCAGCCCATTTCGTGTACTTCATTCTCCAGTTATCAATCCATTCATAATGCCCATTGGTCTAAGGAAAAAAAAATCAACTGGAATTATTAAACTCTATCAATCTACTCTGTCTACATAGCACTTTGTGCTAAAAGGATTTGGGCTTTTCTTATAAGCTAATAATAAATACAAATGGCTCAAACTTTGACATTTTTGTTGTGACAAATAGATATGTATTGAGAAATACAGCAGTGCAACAAGTACTTTTCAGCAAAAGGAAATGCAAAGTGACATTGAGTTAATGTTGACCTTAACAATACCTTTAATTGGAGACTAATAACAATTTCATTAAAAATAAATTGTAGGAGTGAAATTTTGATGACTAATTTTTGCTCTAACTCTTTCCCTAGAAGTTTCAAGACATGTAGATGATTTTAACTTGGAATACATTTAAGTCCATAGTAATTTCCCACCAAAGCTGGTTAACTCAGTGATTTATCCTGGCGATTAATATTAGAGGCATCTTTTGATTTTTGGGACATGGTGTATTATGTTCATATATTTGGGGTTTTTCTCATTTGCTCAGACAAATGGAGTGTGTGGGACAAGTGTCTGTGCCAAGAAGAAAACGATACCGTATTTAAATACACAGAAAGTATTAAAATACCCAACAACTGAGAAGGAGGAGACAAATAAAATTGAACTAGGTAAACTAATTAATTACTTGATAACTATCCTCAAATATTGTAAAATATTCATAGTAATAGCACCTTCTTATACTTCTCAAAATTAGGTATCGTTACTACAATAGATGTTTTCTTCTGTAAATTCTAAAATATTAGGATTTTATATCACATATATATCACACTTATACCTGAAATATATAAAGAGATATTACAAGATGCTAGACTAAAATGCCTTATTTGGAAGTGCATAGAGTGGAATATCATAGAAAAAAATGTGAAAAGCATGTGCAATATACATGATTTAATCAGATTAACAGAAGAGGATGGACTCCTCTGACAGCACAAAGAAGTTTTTAGGTTCAAGATGTAAGCAAATAAGCTGAAGTAAAGAGAGAGATGATAAGACTTTTCAGTTCCTGACTTGTCCATGAGAAAAGCCTCATCATGTTCAATTAGTTTAATTTTCTTACCACATTGCTATTAAGACCAATCCACACAGGCACCCCATATTTTAATATCTTTAGCCACAGGAATGAATGAGTGTAGGTGTCTAAGACACTGGAAAGGTCAAATTGATTTTGTTTGCAGTTTTTCCGTGCATCCTCCCATGTCATTTTGCTGTGGATGAACAAATAACTACTATTCCCATAACGGATAATGTTGGATGGGGATGAGGTTGTAGAAGGCAGAAATTCAGAATCTGTAAAATAAAGGAAAAAAAAAAAAAGACCCATTTACTTGTTTAAAAGGGGAGCATGATTTCACTGTGGTTATAAATAGAACTATTATTATTTATTTATTATCTATTTATAACCATTATTTATGGTTATAAATAGAACTATTATTTATTTCATATTCTCTGGTTTATAATCAGCATGGATAAGATGCACTATGCTTTAAGCCAGCAACAGTAGTAAAATTCAATTACAAAGCTATAGAGAGTTAAAGAGCTGCTTAAAGTAATTTATGATAAAGAGTAAAGGAGCATTTTGTATAATCATCAAGAACAGTATTACTGAAATTACTTGGGATTAAGTCATAATTTTTTTCATAAAATCTTTTTTCATCAAATGAAATACTTTGCAGAAACTGTTTGGTTTCCCAAAGACTTTATCTTTTCCAAGAAATAAAATGGTTGCAACAGACCAGTCCTTAAAAATTGCTCAGATACTTAGATGCTAGATTTAAATATTTATAATCTCTTTTTTGGAGACAATTTTACTCAATTTCAGTGCAGATGGGTTGCAGTCTCATTCCAGATAGTTCATGCTACATGTACAAACCCGTATTTTCCAAAACATGTTTTGAAAGCCAATGTACTCAGAAAATGATAAGAACTATGGAACAAATGTCATATCAAGAGTCATACTAGACACAAAGATGCAGACACAAATTCCAGCTCAGGAAAATAGCAACGCAGCATTTGCTGGGAAGTGTCAGATGAGAGCAGTGACTAACCAGTCTTCTGACACATTTGGCTATTTGACCCTTTTCTTCCTGCCTGAAGAACAACTTGTGCATTTATCTTTATTGGATGCAAAATCATTATTAAATCCACATACTTAAGCAATTTCCTGTGGGGGGAAAAAAAAAAGAAAGAAAGAAAAAGTTTTGGTTTCAACTAAAAAGAGAAGTACCTGCATTAATTTGGCATATATATCCTCTGCTGTTATCACAACTCTGATCAGCCCACTTCCCTGCTTCCTTAACAGGTTTGTTTTTCATGGCAACACAATCAGCCTCGAGGCAAAGAGATACAACATCAGTTAAAAATAGCTAGAATAAGCAAAATTGAAACTTTTGACCTGCATTTGCATCTTCAGACACAAGTAATGCTGTAATTTTAGTCTCATTATCATTGTAATATTTAGGAGCACAAGTTTTAAGTTACACAAGTGATGTGGAAGTTTTATTCCTCTTACATGTCACAAGTTTATTTGTTACTTTCTATTGCACTACCTTTGGTGAGTAAGAGGACCAGAGAAATTTTAGTATTCTCAATGCCCAGGCATACAGCATAGGGAGGAGTCACAGATAATTTTAAGAGAAATTATATCGATCATTGTAGAAAAGTCTGGATAATTTTTCCCCAGAAATAAACCGGAACCCTTAAAGTGCAGTGCAACAATTTATTGTTTCAAGCTGTAATAGTACACACAGCAAAGTTAGAACAGCTCCTGCCCAAAGGCAGCCACTGCTCTGCCTTACTATGACATTTCAACTTCTCTGACATGGATACAATAGACAGAAATTAGATTAGCACATATTAAATAAACAGTGATTAGTGCAAAGGCCTGCAGGGTTACATGTGGCTTTGTGTGATGAAACATCCATATTTATTTTTTTGTTTACTTGTTTGTTTTTTTTCTGTTCATAAGATGTTAAGATAATAAATTCATTTTTGGCTGAAAACACCTTTGATTTAAATCTTTCAAACTGAACCGTTGCATACTCATTTTTACTAACTATGATAACATTTTTTTGCTAAGATCAAGTAAGCTTAAAAACAAATATAAAATTTATGAAAAAGGGACTTTATAAGTTGTCACATAAGACTTCATAAAATCCTATTACTTCACATAAAAAGAGACAACTCTTTTTTTAAAAGTAGCATTTTTAAAATATTTTCCTTTAGAACTCCAAATTCTACCTCATTTTTTTCCTCCTTTAGAGATAAGAAGCTCAAAGGTGCTCCTTTCAAAGACATGGAAAAGGATATTATACACAAAAATCGAATTTCTACATTAAAAACGTCATTCAAGAGAAATAGAGTGCTATAAAGTGTTGTAGTTCCAGAGAACGCACACATTATCAGAGAGAAAGGAACTCTGTGACCTATCAGATCAGTTTGTTTGACAGAACAAGAGAGTGATTTTCTGGTGGTTCGGGGGTTTTTTTCCTTGTAAAAATTGAATGGCTGTGTTTTATAGACTCATGTCCCTCCTTCAACTGTGACTGGCAGAATTTGCTTATTTGCTTATCTGTAAGACACCTGCTTCAGGGGAATGTTTGTAAATGTCCCCTTGCAAACTACATTGCCAACTGGGAAGCCTGCCAAGCTCTGGCACAACTGTCACCAGAGCACCAGGATGATGTTCTCATTGCTGTGCTTTTGGGAAAATGCCATGGAGGGCAGGAGAACCACTGCCCCATTGACACAGCCTAGGAGAGAACACAGGCTGAACACAAAAGCTGTGTAGCCTTCACAGACACAGAGAACTAAAAACTGAAACAAGTCTTTCTATGAGCACTGCACAGATCCTGTCAAAAGCATTCACTCTGCTTGGATCTGCTTGGATATAAATTTACCTGGATTTATATCCAACTTTATATCCAACATGCATACAAGTATCAAAGTAGTAAGTCAAGCAGTGACATCCCTAAAATCATCACAAATGCATTAATTCAATCTTAGGCAAGGTGGGTATTGGTCTCTTTTCTCTAGTATAACAAGTGATAGGACAAGAGGAAATGGCCCGAAGTTGACACAAGAAGATTGGATATTAGGAAAATATTCATCGCTAAAAGAGTTTTTAGGCATTGGAACAGGCTGCCCAGGGAAAAGTGTTTAAGTCTTCATGCCTGGAGGTATTTAAAAGAGATGGAGATGCAGCAGTTAGGGACATGGTTTAGTGGTGGCCTTGGAAGTGCTGCAATAACAATTAAACTAAACAATCTTAGAAGCCTTTTCCAATCAAAATTATTCTATGATTCTATAAAATCAAACTTCAGTGAACAATTTGTGATTGCTATTTACCTGGCCGCTATAGGCATATAAACCCATATGTCCTGACGGGAAGCCTTTGGCCCAGTTTGTAAAGTAAACCCCTGTTCCATCTGTCCAGAGGAATCTCATTTCATGATTTATATCATTTAATCCAATCCATGTCTCAGTGGCAAAATCTTTTAAATGGAACGTAAGGAAAGCTAGAATGAAACAAATGCAAAGAAAAGAGGAATAATTTTAATATTTGTGAAATATTTGGCCTCACTGAGATTGATGATATTAAATACTTTTTTTGAAATACAGAACACTCCACTGCTGATAACACAAGCAGGTGAGATGAAAAGGAGGTGAATGTTGAGTTTGATGAATGGGGAAGTAGATATATAACTGTGGCTTGGGAAAAATACTTCATCTAAGTATCTAAGCTGGTTCTGGAATGGACTCCAAAAACATGACAGAAATTATTTTTATATGTCCCAAGACACATCTGAATCTTAGTTCAAGACACTGACAGCTGTGGGGATTACACACATTTTTGATAATCCCACAAGAGTGGTTGCCCCCCAGTGACACAACAGCACCACCGAGATCCTGCCATTCGTGTTTCTGCACAAGCAGTGCTGCTCCAGAACCAGGAGAGTGTTTCTTCCCTCCCCGGACTGCTGGGCAACAGTCTGCACTGCCTTGGCAGGGAGCAAAATGCACAAGAAACCTGCTTCAAACGAGATTTAACAGAACTATTAAACACAAGCAAATCAATTATCACAGCTTTGCACAGTCCAGGTGGGGTGCTGATGTGTCTTAGCTAGCTCAGAGCAGGCTAGGTCAGCTGATATTCATCCATTATAAACATTATGAATTATATTCAATCTACTGGTTTAATTCATTCAATCCATGCTGCATTGAATGTGGTGATAAAATGAATATACTATGGCTTTTGCCAACCATTGCAGTCATGGTTATGAATGTTTTTTCCTCTGAAAAGAATAGATTAATTTCTGTCTATTCTGTTAATCATTCACCTCCCTTCAGCATTTTTAAATGTATGCAGCTTACTCCTCCAGGAATGAAACCTGTAGGTTTTTTTGCCAAATATTAGAATTGCTGTTCTGCCAGAAATTGTAACAGGAACTCAGGCCTTTATGCCTGCACTTCCTGCAATGATAATAGTTTTGTGCTAATAGCTCCATTGCTCATTTCTCTTTTACCCAGAATTCAAGTCCTGTGCATTTATTAACCACTTCAGAAAATATGTAGAATAATAATATAACTGTTTGAAAAATGAAAATTTGATTCTTATGCTCTTCACAAGTGGAAATCATAAGTAGTACTAAGTTTTTATCAGCAGTTTAAATTATAACTATTTAACTGCTCGGACTTCAATGCATTGTTTTACAATGATTGAGGTTTTAGTGTGCTCTCTTGAGTTCACAGACAGTATGTGTTTTGCAGCATTTGTTTTTCATCACATTCACATGTAGGATAAAACATTATGCCTAAAAAACCAGTCTATCTATCAAAGTCAATCTAACATCTATCAAGGACTTCCTCTGTTTTTAGTTTGGACAGATGCCTTGTTTATTCAAGCATGGGGTAGCTTTCCCCCTCTCATCTCCCTGAGACAGGGATGCAGCTGTTGGGTTCATTGCAATAAGCTCCTCTAGTGAAAAGAGTGGCACTTCTGTGAGGTGAGCTCTGCATATGTGTGTGAGCACTCAAGCCTCCTTGAAGTTGCCCACAGGCAGGTTCTCATGCTAAAGACATTCTACTTGATTTAACAAGAAATCCATGCAGCAACTTAATGCCACCTAGTGAAACCACATTGTTTGGAATGGGAATTGCAGGGTCCAGCTGGCATCATGTGCAAGCAGAAAAAAAAACCACTACTTTGGCTCCCAGGACAATATACATATATATATATCTCTGAGCCAACACTAAAATTTGGTAGATTTAATGGAAGACATCTAAAAATTATATGTTTGGGAACAAAGATCAAATATGCAGTCATTATTCAAATCTGTTTGTATTCAGACAAAACCCCAGCCAGCCTGTAAGGATTAAATGTCATGTCATCTATTTGCTACAAAACTGTGCACAGTACCTTGCACTTGTTCATTAGGGATCGAGGCCAGGTTTCCTCCTAAATTCATGCAAGCTGTTCGTGCAGCATGCCAAGTAACACGTTCCTCTTCTGTAGATCCAAATATTTTGTAACACTAAAATATGAACAAATTCTCTATATATTATCTTCATTCTAATATCCCTCAATTGATAATCACTGTTTTAAACAGAGCAGGATGAAGAAAAGGCAGTAAAAGAATGCATTTATCTGAAAAAATACATTCAACTTTCAATGAGCTCTTGTGTTAGTCCTAGTTCTATATAAAATTAGAAGTCTCACTAAAGTGTCTTGCTCAACAACTAGATTTGATCTGAAATCCCTAGAAAATAAGCAAATCCTGATTTTTCGATAGACAGCTAACAGTGCTAAGTTATGCATGACTGATCTTTGTCTAATTATTCATGTTATTTTACAATACATACCATGTTAGTAAAGTTAAGGAAGACAAAATGTAGTCAGGAAAAAGCATTACAGCTTGCTCAAAAAACACCTAGATCAAGGCATCAATACTTAGGAATTCTGACTAAATGTGTATAAAAACATTTGAAGAGCTGACTAGAGAATTATCTTTCATCAACTGCAACTGAATTTGCTTCATTAGAAGCATCAGAAAAGCCTTTCCTGCAAAACAATGGATAGGCAAACAAAGAAAAGCATGTGTCATTGCTCTCTGCATAAAAATAACAACATATTGTATAAATAAGAAACAGTATGATTGAAAGATTCCCTTGTTTTCTATTTAATGCATTGCCAAACATCCAGCATAGATCGTATTTGTTATGGTACCTTGTTATGAAAAGAAAGCCAAGCTGGTCGACATCCTCTTGGACTTGAAAATGTTGTTGGAGGAACAGTTGAATTAATGGAACTGTTGTGCCTTTCACATATGTAGGGATTTGGATAGCCACAGTTTATATCATTCCAAAATCCTGGGTGTAAGATAAATGGGGAACTGTATGACACCACATCTCAAGCTGGTTAATGGAAATCAGTTTCACTCATTCTCACATACAGTGCTTTTAGTTGAAAGATCAAAGCTGTCTCTCGGTTTATTATCATTCAATATCAGTGTCTAGGAAAAATATGTCACTTTATACATGCTGTAATTACAGACTGTTAAAAGCTTTGCAGAGCCAGGTACTAGAAACTTCATAGTGACACATTAGGTCAATTTTAATAAAAAATATAAACCAGCAACCACAACCACAGACTCTGGCCACAAAGCTCTATCAGATCTTCCCCACGTTAGGCTTCAGGTAAGCACAAGAGTATGAAACTATTAAGTCCTGTAAGGAATACTGTAGTCTGCTTCAATTACTTTTTGTAAAAAAGAAAAAACAACAAAAGAGGAGGAAGGGATGCTTCTCAGAAGAAAAAGAATGTTGTGACACAAACACACAAATAATGAAATTCATGAAAGAACATACAAAACTCACCTAAATTCTTATACATAACGACACAGTTTTCATCATTATTTGCGAAGTTAGGTTCATGTGGTGCCCATGCCAAATAATTCACTGGAGTGCCATCCATCCAGCTTAATAAAAACAATCCAACAAAATGCTTCTTTAACATAAAATAGAACTTCTTCCATGTTAAAAAAGTAACTTTTTAATATGCTAAATATATCTGCTCATAGTAAAATGTACAAGTTTTTTTGACCAAATTGCCTCTTTACTAGTTGCACTAAACTACTCTCTGTTCAAAGACATACAAGGTAAAATACAAACATCGGAAAAACTGAATATCCATGTAGATTAGTCAATGAACAAAACTGTAACCAGGAAAATTATTAGGACACATCTTTCTAGTGATCTGCAAGTGACAGAGGTGCCCAGGTTCATGCTTCAGACACATTCACAAGGTGCTTAAAAGTATATTCATCTTAGGGTCCCTACAAAACCAGCAAGGCAGAAATACCTCCTTTTCAGAGGCTCAAGTAATTATCTTAATTATCCTCTGGAGGTCCCTCATTGTTACTGTGGACTGTGAGGAGATCTGAGAACTACTAGGCATCTATCCAGGCACTTCAAACACAGACTGAACTGAATCCAGGCCTAAATAAACATCACGTGTCAAATACAGTGCTGCACATTGATATTCAGAAAGGCTTTCAGAAAACCTGCTTGACCTCACAGTGCAACAACTATCATTGTTCCAGAAAAAGAAAATAGGTTTCATTTGATCCTTTATTAGAGTCTGTTATCAGCAGTTAAGGATGGGGTAAAAAACATTTTTACCTACAAAATGTCTTATATATTTACAGTTAGAACATCTACTTATATTTTCAGAATGAATCACACAATAAAGGAAACTAGAATTCCTGAATAAAAATTCAAAATATATTAGCTGCAGTATAATTTTTGTCTAGCTTTGAGCAAATTCTATTTTATTTAGGAAACATGCAGCATTTCTTCTGCATAATCTAGAGCTAAATTAAGATGCAAATAAACTACTTGGGAATACAATAATGTTTAAATTATGACTCAAAAGTGGGTATGACCTACCTTGTACGTTGGTCAATACTCAGTTGTAAACCAATGAAATATGCATCCTCTTTGCCATTTTTCAATATCTAGAATGCAAAAATTAAAATTACACAAATGCCTTCTATTGTCATATAAACCTATTTTGTTACTGATGAGTAATATACCTCTAACTGACAGAAGATATGAACTGGATACATTCTGTAACCACAACATTTAAGGCAAAGCAGCTCACAGCTGACAGTCCACAGTCAAACTTCACCATTGGGCAAAAGGTGTGGTCACTGTATCAACACTTCTCACATTGCACTTGAAAGCCACTGAAATCAGAACCTATTGCACAGTCTTTGCAGTGGACTTTATCTGACTAATTCCTTGCAAACACAAGCCCATTCTTACATTTTGGATATAAATTGATACATGTCCTTGTGTCCTCTTCAGCCAGCTCAGGAAATGTTCTATGTAGTTTAAATATAATTTTTAAGCATATTCCAGATTAAAAATAAATTGGCCTCAACCAGCATAAAAAGCAAACAATTCTAATGATACAGTAAATGGGATTTCAAACCTCTTTCTCATGGCATAATCCATGTCCAGTTTCTTCTCTCTCCATAATTATATTCTCATAAGAAGGAGGCAAAGGAGCAAACTTGAGGACCAAAAAGAGGCTGCTAGGTAGACTATAGCCCAGATAAACAGATAAAATCTAAATCCCATGTTCTGTGTGTTGCATGTAAGTCAACTGCTGCTTTGATCCACTACTTAAGATATCCTACATATCATAACTTATCAGTGTAATACTTTCTGCTAAAATGAAGCTACAGATGTCTTTAAAGTTAGCATTAGCTTGTTCTTCATACTAATCTGTCTTAGTGTAACTGCAATATCACTATCAAAACTTGTAGGGAGAACACCATGGTGAAAAGGATCTGTGCCCATGCTCACTTGTTTTGGATGGTTTATTCCATAGTATTAATGATTTTTCTTACATATCGCCAGAGGAACTTTCTTTCACTTTCACTCTCAATGACAGAAAGGTCTCCAAAGTTCTTTTTGCAGAACTCACGGCCCTCTTCCATAGGAACAGTCTCCGTGCTGAAATAGTACTGTTTGTCTTCGTGTATAATCCATCCATCCTCAGTAGTCCTGTATTCTGTAAGATAATTGCCAACCTAACTGTTCTGCTCCTGAGGTACAAGAATCCTTCTTAATAAAATTTTAACAATGCTTTTGAACACACACACACACAAACAAAGAGCAACAGCAGTAACACCTACCGGGTACAGGAGATTCTGTTGGTTCAGGCTTCACACTTGCCCCTGTGAGAAAAAAAAAATATTATTATAGTACACTTTCTGTCTGAAAAGAAGATATTTCATGTGCCTGACAGGCATGTTTTAATACTGACATTGACTTTCACAGTTAGCAATGGATTTAGTACCAAAATGTAAAAGGAACTAAATAACCTAATTATCTTAATTTTGGTATAATATTCAGTTTTAAATATGTAGTCTTGTTCCCTGAAGCTAGTCCTTACATGCAAAGTATTATAAAATACCTTGAACTTTACCTGAATCAAATAAGTTTTTTTGCTCATTGAAAGCAGTAAACCTTATGTCCCAAAGCATTAACTCTGTAAAGACAGTTGTCCTCGATCTGCATCTCCCTCTTTTCCTGTGGCCACCAATACTTGAATTCTGACTTAAACCAGAGACAGGAGGAATGTAGGCTGGGTTATCATCTGATGGGGTGCCCTAACCACCACAGGGTGAGGTTCTTTCCATCTTTCTCTGGTTGAGAGTAACTTCTACCTTGATCTTACAAATTTCCCTAGATAAAATCTTGCTGGAAATGATAAAGAAATTAACTGGTCCTCAATGAAAAGAAAAACTTTAGACTAAAGAATTCCCATTTGTTTTTGCTATGGCATCATGGAGATGGGATCTTGAATGTCATTAGCATTTCAGAAAAAAAATTTATTATACAGAAAAACTCTGTCAGTTTAGGCTTACCAATTAGTTTTGTACTAAAATGTAATCTCACTAGTGATGACATCTATTAAGACAATCTATGCCTAAGAAATTCTCTTATCACTAAAAGGCAGAGCTGATATTTATTGTCAGTAATCTAATGCAACATCTTTATTTTGCTCCTCTCCATCCCAACATAAGAATGCCGTAAAACACTGAAATGTGCTGCACTTTCTAAAAACTCAGATTTAGATAGATGCACTGCTAGTGAAACTCAAGTGTTCCCTAAATTATAAACATTGTCTTGATATCTTTAGTAAATAAAAAGCATCCAAACACATATCTCATGAGAATTTAGCAAGTAATCAACATGTGAATATAGAAATAAAATATCTTGAAACCAGGCTCCATCCTCAAACTACACATTCTTAGCAGAAAAAACAACCCCTGAGGCTGTTCTTATAAAGAGGTTTTGAAATTTTTTTATTTCTTACAACTAAGGTAAAAATCAAATGAGAATATCTTCTTATTACACTAATATACAGGAGTAAGCAATACCTTTTCTTATTTGGCAAATCCATCCATACATATAATCACAGTGCCTGTCATTCCAAAGCATGCTGGAATCACCACTGATCTCTGTACAAAGTTCAACTCCTTGATAATTATTTGGTTCTCCAAAGCCCCAGTTTTCATACCTCACCTATGACAGAAGAAGTTTTGTGAAGATTCTGTTTTATGAAAATAAAGTAAGGGAGAGAGGGAGGAGACAGCATCAAAGCACAGACCTACAAATTGTTCCTATTGTCAGGTTAAAAACTTAGGAGGAAATGAGAATCCCCCTGTGCAAATGCTGAAATTTCAAACTTTTTCAGATTGCAAATGGATTGCAGTTTAAGTAACAATTGTTTTTGTGCACACTTGGAAGAATATAAACATTTTTCATGGGACCTAAATTTTTAAATTACACTTAACAACAATGCTGGGGCATGCTACATCTTGATATTAAACTAATTAAATATACAAAATGAGTAGAATAGGATATTATTCAGATGCAATAAAAATGTTGGCATTTACCTTAGAAGAACTATTACTGCTAGTCTAATTTTCCTATATAAAATGCAGTTTCAGGTAATGTAAATCCCCATCAATATATCTTGAGCAACCTCATATCAAGTACACCTACATCTCCAAAATCACTTTCATTTCTACAGTTTTATACCTTAGCTTAAAGTGCAGTAAGTCAAACTGATATTAAAAAAGTGTTTTCAACTCCATGGAATGTAAGTCATTGAAGATGATGAGCAAAGAAAAGAACAACTAAAGAAGAACTATTTTGCACCAAAAAAATCCTCACATTCATAGAAATATCCTTTTAGTCTGCATGCATTTAGTTTCCTTGTTGATTCAATGTGTATCTCCTTATCAAAAATCAGTATGTTTTAGACAAAAATATCAAGCCATGAAATTGCTATTCCTTAGCTTTCTTGAAGAGTGCACAATACAGAGGGTTATGATTAAGCACAAAAAATACACAAAAACATATACACTACACATAAATCAGAAGCACAGGGAATGCAAAATAAAGCTGTGGAAAATTAAAATACTCACTGGAGATCCATCACTCCAAGCAAAGCCATCATCAGGATTCAAATAATATAAACCTATCCAGAAATTCTGATGGTAATAGCCATTGTTTCTAAAAAAAAAAAAAAAATGCTAATAAGGGCATTACAGTTTTTTTAACAATCTATCATTTACTACAGTTAAGAATTCTCTAAGGATAACTTAATGCTGTTAAAAACAATATAAACCAAGGTGGAAATAAATTAAAATGCAGCTGCTTCTAGCTGTTATCATTATGCATTAACTCAGATTGAAATACAGATAAATAAAATTACCAGATACAACTCCTGTATATAAAGTGGCTTAATACCTTTGTATAATGGTTCACTGGCTACTGTTGTTCCATTTCTCAACTCCTCATTTTCCCTGTAAAGGCACTTACAGCTTTCAAACAGAGTGTTACTTTCTGCAGTTGAATTGCATTTTAAAAATATCACCTTCAACTAATCCTTGTCTGCAAGCAGGCACATTTTACTGATTAATCACAATATCTTCAGTCAATTTGTGGTAATGAAGCATCTGAGACTTCTTCCTTACTGTAAAACAGACAACTGGGATTCTAGTATGGTTATACTATTTTGCATGGCCATGATGTTTCAGTCTTGCTTCTTGGTTAGCCAGGGATGTACAAGATTCTTGAGCCTGGTTTGTTCTGGTCGTATTTCATGTGTTAGCTTTTCATATTATTTAGAAATCTCACCCTTGTTTTTTGCAGTTCAGGGACCTTATTTATCTTCCTCTTAAGAAAAAAAAAAATCTGAAGTTGCCTCTGCTTTTTTATTAGTTTATAAAATTGACCAAAAAATCAACATATTATCCAGATTTAATAAACTGTTAGCACTTTTGTACACTTACGTGAAAACGACTGGCATCTGTAGTAATTTTATAATATCAACAACTCCACAGTAAATAGCTTTACTTCAGATAGATGATAGATGTTGCCTTAACCAGATATCTTGCCCATGCCATTTCGGCACCAGCTTTTGAGGTCGTTGCTGCTAGTCATACAAGTACTTACAACTACTTCATCAGCTCTACGCTTTTGCTGTGTGTTGGACACAGACAGGGATTGCAGACTGCCTTATGCAGAAGCAAATGCATAACCACCTGAGCAGAAATGTTTCAGAAAGCTCCGGGGGCTGATGGAAGGGCCCCCGCGGACACTCACGCGATGGAGCGCCAGATCACGTACTGCTCCTCTTTGCCGTTGATGGAGGCCAGGTCTCCTCCTATGGATCGGCAGAACTCCTGCGATTCCAGCCACGTCTTCTTGTGCTCTGCTCTGGAGAAAGGCTAAAGAGACCATTTGGGCATCAGAGAAAACAGATCATATAGAGCACAAGATCAAGAAATATCAGTTACCCAGAAGGAATTGATTTACAATTATACTCTGTGGGGATTACAGAAACTGAGTACAGGGCTTAGGAGTGTTCTCCTCTGTGAAACACCGGCTTGGAATCAACTCTGTAAGTCAAGTTACACACTGCATTGCTGATTGGAGTGCAAGACAGCCACCAGACCACAAAATTATCTGAACTGGAATTTAAGAAAAAAAAGGTCAAACCTGAAGATTAGTCTTTAAGAGAATAAACAAAACCATATGCATTTCAGTAGAAAGGAAGAAGACTTCTACATATAATCTGGAAAAAAGATTATTGAACAATAGGACACATATATGTGTCCCAATTTTTATTGGGATCACAGAATTTTCTGAGTTGTAAGAGACCCACAGGGATCATCAAGTCCAACTCTTAAGCAAATGGCACATAAAGGGATCAAACCTGAAACCTTGGCATTATAAGCACTACGCTCTGGCAAACTGAGTTAATCACATGTATGTGAAGCAAATAGAAACTACCTTAGTGCAGAAATAACCAACATACTTACTTTGAAACAGAAGCTAATATGATTGTTTGAGTTCCAGCCTTCTGGACACCGGGGAATAGGAGTTGTTGTGGGAACAGGTGGAAGTGTCACTCCTTCTGCCCACATTTTGCATATGAACTTTGCCTTTTCTTCACATTTTATTACATCCCATAATCCCCCTGCTATTCCAGTCCTCATGGCAACACAGCCTGGCTTTCTTCCTGATTGTAAACAGGAATGTACACAAATGCCATTTAGGGTGTTATAAGAAGTTAGAAATTTTCATATTCTATCCTGGCAGAAATAAAGTTGTTGTACAGAGTCAAAAACATTTCTAATGTTAGAGCAGGTCTTCAGGAGGACCACAGAAATGATCAGAAGGCTGGAACACCTCTCCTACAAAGAGACACTTAGGTAGTGGAGTTGTTCAGCCTGGAGAACAGAAGACTCTATATCTAAAGAGTGCTTATTAGGTGAAGAAAGACTTTTTACCAGAGCTTATAGTGACAGAACAAGTGACAATAATTTTAAAATTAAACAAATTAGATTCAGATTGGGCATAAGGAATGATTTTTTTTTTATTATAAATGTAGTGAGTAAGTGGAACAGATTGCCTGGAGAAGTTGTAGATGCCCTATTCATGAAAGATTTCAAGATCAGGTTGGACTTGAATTTGAGCAACCTGGTTTAGTGAAAGGTGTCCATGGCAGTGGGTGGGGACTAGCTGATCTTGAAATGTTCCTTTAACATAAACCTTTCTGTGATTCTATGATTCTAATTCATGAAGAAAAAAAAAGGCAATAATGAATCTGTAGCTCATCCACTCTGAAATACTGAATTATGCCTCACACCAAATCACCTGCAGTGACTGACTCTAGCTAGATCATAACCTTAGATCCAAGAAATTCTCCCCTAAAAGTGAATATGGTTAGAGCTTGTTTCTCATTTTTTTCTAATTTGACTTAAAATTTTCAAGAGCTAACTAGGTATATATAAGCCTACATACCCTTACCACTTCACATTATTCAAATCAGCAATTAGGTACTGAACTTAAACAGAATCAGAGGACCTCCTTAAAGGCATATGCAATGTACCAGAACTTTGAGCACCAATAACTACCCCCTTCCTGATGTGATAATGTCAGATTAAATGGCCTCCCATTGTTATATTTTGGCCCTCTTGTCCTATTTTACAATCCCATATTCTCTAGAACTCAGAGAGGCTTCATGTATGCTGATATCCCACACACTCAGAATGTGCAGTGAACGAGTGTGCCATGAGATTTGGCTCAACAGGCAGGATTTGCAAGGAGGATCGCTAGGTCTGCCAAGATTGCTCCTCCAGAGCAGCAGGCACAGACTTCCCAGAACAGCAGAACAGTTGCAAATCAGAAACTTGATCTCAATGAAAAGTTTAAAGTTTCTTCCCAAACTCATACTAAAAACTCATTTCAGCACTAGGCAGGAACTTAGCAGCCACACTGGATTCTTGGGGAGAGCAGTCTGATGTATTCGAAAGCCAATGGCCATTATGTCATCAAGAGAGTGCTAAGGAAAAGTCTTCAAGAAGTGAGCAATTTAATTCAGGCCTTGGACCCATCAAACAGCACAGAGTCATACCTACCAGGCATTTCAGAATTCCAGTGTGTAAATAAGACAGATTCACCATTACACCACTTGAATGTTCCCTTTTCTTCTACATCTGAAAGTCCAATCCAAAAGTATCTTTCTCTTTTCAGCCCAACCAGGCTGGTCAAATAGGCTTGTTCATATCTGTTTAAAAAAAAAATCAGTCAATAAATTAATACTGTTAAATTTATTTTTTAAAGTTGCCAAAGGTTTATTATTTTCTCAGAATTACAGCTGCACTTTCTTGAAAGCATAGCTTGAATGGATTTTATTCAGCAAAGAATATAACAAAACCATTAAATAATAGATATTTTGTAAGCTTCAATATCAGAGTATTTTGCTTTCTTCTCAGATGTCCAGTGAATGAGATGGCCTAATCATGGACTGACAGGAAATTGTTGGTAAAGGAGAAACCTGACATGCCTTATGTTTCATACCACTTATTTTGTGAGTTTCTAGTACTCTTGTTTTTATTACTTCTTGCTTCAGACAAATCCAAATCTGAAAAAGGAATCTCAGCATTACTGAAGTTACAAAAAGTAGAGGCTAAAGTAGTATGACACTAAATTATAAAACTAAGGAACACTAAATTAGATCCAACTATTGGACAAGACAAGTTATATTTAGCAAAGAAACCTATGTAGAGGTAAAGCCTGTCATAGTTCACCGATGTTTAAACAATCAGCTCCTAAGAAATCAGAACAAATAAAAAAAGTCTCCTCCTAACAAGGTGTAGTCAGAAGGCCACATTAATGTTAAAACATTTTTATGGCAGCTGCAGTGCTATGCTTATAAAGTTATTCATGATAGCTGGAACTTTCACAGTAGAACAGAACAATTTTGATTATAAAGAAACAAATAAGATTGTGTAAAGCATCAAGTCATCTGCAAGAAAAATATTTTGTTTCTTAAACTTTTTTATTTTTCTGTATTTCACATAATGTGCACCTCCTCTTCAGAAATTTTGCACACATCTACATTGTGACAGATTTTCAGGTACCAATTGCTTTACATAATTTGACTTCTCACTTAAGTTTTTAAAAGTACCTCAATTCAAAGACCAGACAGTTGAAAATTATATCCTCTTGTTCATTTGTACTACACTTTGGAAGGAATTCAGAGCCATTTAATAATCAAAACTGGATTCCATATTCCTTACTCAAGCTAGCCACCACAAGATACAGTTCTACTTTTTATTTGACAAAACCATCTGTTATCAATACTGATTTCACAGCCATTACCTACTTTCAGTCTAAACCAGATTCCTGGATTTCAATTTACATGTAAAAACTTTGAGAATTTCTGTATCGACAGATAGCTGTCCTCTGAAGCTAGATATTGGACCAGTCAGTCAGAGTCTTTATTCTGATATGCAGGTGATGCTACAAGTTGAATCCTCATGTGACCCTCGGAAAAGGAGATGTTTACATACCTGTCTTCAACTGTTGCTAAAAAAGCCTGATGACTTCCACAGGTTTGATTTGCTTGAGGAAATGTTAGAAATGTATTTCCAATGAAGTAACAATAAAAACCATGTCTTTTCCAGCCCTGTCAAAATAAATGTGATCACTGTAGGAAAGGGAACTAACAAAACAGAAAACGGATTTGTCCACCGTTATCTAAACATTAGACAAAGGAACAATATAACTGAAAAAGAGTGGAAACAGGCAGGATCAAATCTTTTTAGAATTTTGTTTCATAAAATAATTTTTCATATCTAATGAATTTTCAATCAATGTATTCCACTCACAAAGGGATGAGAGGCTTTGCAGTGCAACTTTTGTGCCCAGGACAGGATTATAACCAGCGCATAGGCATAATGAAATCGTGAGGACAGTCTTGAAAAGCAAACTTCAGCTTGAATTTTCAGAAAGGGAATGACACCTTAAACAAGTTTGTTTATTCTTAGCTAACATTAAAACTCACTCCCAAAGTTTTGTCATTCAAATATCATTTTCTCAGGGACATACTGTCAAGAGAAGGTTGCTGTGACCAGCCATAGTTCACAAAAAAATTCTTCTGATGGTTTTTTATTTCTCACTTTTGAGAGATATTTTTTTTTTTTTCCAGGCTTGCCTTTGTTTTTTTTTGCATTGTTACCGGCCTTAGGCTTTTTTTTCTTCCACCCTTTTTATTAGTTCCAGTTGTTTTTTCCAATTCTTGGGATTATTCTTCAAGGCTTTTTTGGTAAGGGGGCTTTGGAGAAAAGGGCATTTTTTTCAGGAAGACAAATAATAAGATTTCCTATGACATAATAAATTTCAGTAGTTTTTTTGTAATTACTAGATGTTATGTCATTAGAAAGCAAGCAAATAAAAATAAACCTGCTGACAATTCAGAAGCACAATAGATTGATTTTATTTGGCCAGTGGTAATAAGTTATTCAAAGTAGAAAGCACTGCCAAAGACAACAGCAAAGCCTTGAGAACAGTATTTAGACAGGACACCCTTCCTGCTATTAACAATTTTGTAGAAAACTGTACCCAGAGCTGAAATGCAGCTGATGGTACAGGCAAACTCTTTAACAAAGCTTGAATGCCAATCAAGGATAAGTGGTCTGCTGCAGGGATAATAGGTTTGAGATTTGGTTTAAGTTCTGGAAAAAGAAAGTGAATGAGTATTAAGAGCCAAAGACAGTCATAGATTGGATTTAGTCCTATTTAGTCATTCTACCATAAAAATTAGAAGGCAAACTCTTCTGATTACAATGGAACAGAACCTATTTTTCATGTTTTTTTCTGCCACCTAGGTGACAGTTTCTCTTTTTTATCACTCTTAACAGCCTATTCAGATCAGATAGCTTTTTCTTCACTTACTCTCTGGCAGCCCATATCAATAGTTTCCTCTTCTGTAGGAGCATCTGACATAGGTTTCCTTTTACAGATGTAGCCAATTTTCTTTTCACAAGAATGGTCTGCCCAAAATCCATCCTGAACACACAAAGAGAACTTCAGTGAACTGGGCTTTAATCTCAAAAAAAAAAGCTGGTTTATGCTTCTAAGTATTGAATAATTTTTTGCTAGCTTTCAATGGAGAAAATCCTTCATCTTAGTTCAATACTTAATTCCAACATCTTATTCCTTCTCCCTTCTTCTGGAGGTGATTTACCATTGATTTACACTTTATTTGATTATCTACCCTTCTGAAAAGCAATCCCTTGAGAGTGACTGCAATATACCATCTTTACAAAGACTGCTGATTTAATAAATATATTGGAGGAAAGGGAGATATCAGCTATCCCCACAGAAATATAGCTCTAAGAGCAAAAAACAACACCAGAAGACTGCATTCCTTAGTTAATACTTACACAAAATTTTGAAGATGCAAAAAGTTCTTTGTCAAAGTTAGAATTAATACTCTTATTCCTCATACTGCAGGTTCTCAGAAGAAACAATGACATTCAGTGGGAGTTGTACTGAAAGTAGGATACATCACACCATGTTCCCAAAATATTTTATGTACATTTTGGCTGAACAGAACAACTAAGATATTAAGAGACAAAGGGAAATTTGTGCACCATTCACCTGTGCCTTGAAGACTACACCTCTACAGCTGTAATTTCATAGTAGTTGATGGCAAATTCTTTTTTTTTTTTTAATTTGTATTATTCTTTCAAAATCCCCTCCATCCCAAAAATGTAAAATAATCATCATGGTAATACACAGACACTTGTGCCACAATATTCCTAGTTCTCAAGACATTCAACAAACCCCACTTCCAGCAAAAACTCTGCCAAAGTTCAACACTTCTGCCTACTACAACAAAGCCTTGGAGGTTCACCTTGTGTCTGTCCTGTGCTTACTGAAAGACAAGTCCATTGGTGGCTGTCACATCAATCTACCATGTCTTTCCCATAAGGCTGGCAGACCCTTCAAATAATCACCCAAATCTCTGACCTTCTCAGACTGGGAGAAATCAGCTTTGCAAAACCTTCAGACTTCTTCAACAAAGGAAAAGCTACTCAGAAGCTGTGGGTCTCTATAGGCACACAGTGTGGTAACTGGGAGTGGGGCTGCAGTGGAGCCTCATCCCCAGTGGGCACAGCAGTGAAAAGCAGGTGAGCCGTGCTGAAGGTGAGGAGACAGGGAGTGCTGAGCTGCACTGAGCACCCACCAAAGGGAACACGGGGCACAGGTGCAGTGCTTGAGCAACCAGGGGCATAAAAGGTTGGGCTAAAGAACAAAAAGGGCAGATGCCTGAAGCCTTCTAATATGATGTTTCTGTGTATGGGCAGATGCCTGAAGCTTTCTGAAGATGTAAGCTGTTACTGTGTGTGGGTTGAAGCCTTCTGTATGGCAATGCTCTCTGGCTATCTCAACTGTGACATATGCTGTGATCTATGTTGCAACAGGTCTTTAGTTGCAGGAAGATCATTTGCTGCCTTTCCATAACTATGTCTTCAGCGAGACATTCATGCAGTAATTTCTAGTTACTTCTCACCATGTCTTATGAGCTGCCTCTTGCAAATGTATCTCTGTTGCCTTACTTTCTTGCTAACTAAACCCAAACACTTCCTTGAAAAAGGTGGTGTTACAGACAGGGCCAGGCTTTGTTCCATAATAGTGAATGATAGAATCAGATGGCTTCCACCAAGGACTGATCAACCCAAAAATATCAACAATGGAAACATAAATGTACTTAGGCAGGTAAATGTCAACAAACTGAGAAGGTCAACTTAAAGTTAGGCACTGTTAATTTTGTGAAATAAGAAAATACCTTTGGTATATGTACACACTTTTTCCCCTTCTGATAAAATAGGCTAACTGTGAAGGAAGTGGTAAGTTTTAATTATCACAAAAAGGAAAAATACAGACTGACGTTTATGCCTGGTATTATCTCTGTTCCTAAAATACTCCTAGGTATTTTATATGATCATTGCCACATTCCAGAAGACAGTCCTTTCAAAGCAGCCTTTAAATTGTAGGCATACAGTCATTCACTCAGGAAACACTTTCACTAATGCCACTGCTAAATACTCTCCAACTTTTCTAACAGCTCTTCATTTGCTGTGAAATTAAACCACCTAGATCCAAGATTTATAACTTTCCTTAGAAAAATAAAATTAATACTTCTATTTCCTTCTAAAGAGAGTATTTTTCTCTAGCATCAATAAAAATTGCTAGTGCAATTTTTTAAGGTGAATCCTATACTCAGTCCAAACATAAAAAAGCCAAACATGCAAAAATGTCTTTGTAGCATCCTGAAGAAACTCATTTACATGTTTGTCTGCTTCCTGGTGTAATTATAAGATTCTTTTAAAAGACCACATGCACAAATTGAAATCCAGAAATGTGGATCCTGGGGGGCAGTTGCCACTACTTGTCTGCTTCTCAGGGAAGACAATGAAATTTTCTTGCAATCTCAAACAGAGATCCTTCCTCCAAAAATTAATTTCTGACACTAAAATAGGCTGCTTCAAGCAGTAATATCCCCATTTAAAAAAATATTTCTTACTTGCTCTTGCATTGAAAAAGCCCAAATTACAAATGAAATCACAAGACAATTTACTCAATAGCTATGTGACTTTACCTTTCCCTTCATAACGACACAGTCCTCTTGCCTGTTGTTTGCATGAGTGGGTTCTCCACGAAGCCATTTAGTGTAGGTGACAGGTGTTCCATCACTCCATTCAAAATACATCTGAACCTTGAGGTCATTCAACCCAATCCACAGCTCATCAGATGGCTCTAAAACATATAATTAGCAACCCTGTCACATAATGTGAAATTTCTTCTTTGTGGAAAAGAAAAAAATTTATTCTCAGGAAGTTGAAAAGGCAGCCAGGAAATTAGAGTTCTCAGCCTCATAGAGTGATTGCCTCAGCCTCATAGACTGATTCTCATATACCCACTCCAGTCATCAGGAAAAGCCACTCACCAAAGTGGCAATAAAATAAGGGTGTTCAACTTCATAGAAAACAACCACAATACTCCCTTTGCTGAATTATATTGCAACACAACTAGGTTTAAATTCTTTTCCTTTTCAAAACTTTTAACAATATATGAATAAACCCCTAAATAAAATATTATATTCCCTTTTTCTCCTACTTCAATTATCGTGAAGAAAGAAATGTCCTCTTTTCTAATGCCAAGACACCCAGTGATGTCTTTTAGATCTGAAAACCAGAGTACTTGCAAGTTTTTGCATTATATGTGTTCCTATATTTTGTTTCATTTCAGAGTAAAGTGACATTAATGTGGTTGTTGGATTTTTTTCACTTTACAGTTAAAGGAGTTAGCTGTTGGCTTTTGGCTTGAATGAAACTGCAGGACTGCTCAAGAAATTTACTTCACACTATCTGTTTCTGGAAGGTTTCCCATTCTGGCCAACCAAGATACTGCAAGTATCACCCTTCCAGCCAGTCACTTGAATGACAGAGTCAATTCTGTCCTTTCTCCTTCCCTCCCTTGACTCTCCTGCCTTCATTACACCTAAGTGTGATCAGTCCTCATAGCTCATCCATAATTTCTTACCATCTCTCTACCCCTAGGCCCTCAAATTCACAGGCTCTCAGGCTCCATTTTCATATACCTTTACCCTTTCTAGCAGACTGAGTTTTTTGCTCAGAAGCCCCCCAGACTTACATTTCAGCACACTTGTTTAAACTCTCTTCTGCTAACACATTGAAAGCTGTTCCAATTCTACTGCTCATCATGCTCTCATTCCCTCCTTGCCCACTGCCACCATGGTCCTTAATTTATTTTTTGTTCAGGTACCTCTTAAAATCTTTCTATCTGTGTTTACTGAGCACTTAGCACAGCAGAGGCATTGTCCATGCTCAAAGCTCCTACAGTGGTGGGCTCACACCACGGTAATATGAACAATAAACAACATTCTTCAACAAAATAACTAGGTCAAAACTATTTAAATTAAGCCATGTAAATCTATGGAGTCTCTTCCCACATAACATTTTTTTCCTTGCTAGAAGAACTGCTGTTTTTTTTTTTCTATAGAGCTATATGACTAAATAGCAGGAGAGTTTTTTTCCAGCATTTTGTAAAGCTGTTTCCCATTCTCAGTCATGCACTGGACCACATTTATGCCATATCACATGCTGGACTTCCGTGTAAACATCCAGAATGCACGTCTTTATTCTTCATGTTCCTCTCTAAAGTTCTCCTTTGTGGGTCATGCCAACAAAAGCTCAGCTACCATGACAATATTCATCTCATTGTACCCTTTCTTCCTTTGTTTTATCATGGGACTGTGAATTGTTTGGCACAAAGATAGACTTTTGTTCTTTCTGTACAGCAGTGGTCTGATGCACACAAGATTTTTCTAGGCACTGTAATACATGGTGTTCTCCTCTCAGTGGTGAACAAGGGTAATCCGACAGTCATAAATTGTCGTAAAAGGCTTCTTTAGTTGTTCCAGTTTTAGTCCTCTGAAAAGAATGCTTTCAAAATGGTCTGTTGCAGCTAGTGTGTCACTTGTGAGAAGCCTGATTTCCTTCAGGATTATTTGCCTTTCAAAAACACTCAGTTTTACAAAAACAGAACAGCAGCCAGTTCAGAAAAGGTCTTTGGAGGAGGTATCACACTATGAAATAACCCACTTTGAATATGTAAGGTGACAATATGACCCATTTCCTTTAGAACCTAACCTATCAAATGTCATAAAGTCTCATCAAGACGTCCCACCTTTCCTAAGACTATCTTTTGAAAGAGTAAAAGTTTCATGAATGAACATGTCACTTCTTTAGGAATGTGAAGATAAGCACAAGTTGCTGTGGAGGTAGCTAGGATACAAAAGTAAAGCATATCAGCTGTGCTATGATTTCCACTCCAGGACTCCTGCTATGCTGCAGCTCAAAGCACATAGCTACCCTTTAAGGGAAGGATAAACTAACTCGTCTTTACCTGGCACTGAAAGCACACATAAGATCAGTCACTTCAAAGAAGCACAGGTAGGTGGGAACCTGCTTTTTCCATTAAAAAGCAGTTAACTGCTCCTCCATGCAAGAGCAGGTTCATGTAAAGCAATAACCACCATGAAATTGCCTCAGAGTTAGCATGGCTACGTTCTACTAATGAAGACGTCTTGCACCTGCAGACTAACTAGCCTTGCAGCAGCTCAAATATGTGCTCACAAACCAAGCACATAAATACTGTATTTGATATGGGGCACATCTAAATCCATGTACTGGGACAGATGGATTCTTTTTTCAGGAGAAACACAACCAGCATAACTTGAAACATAAGGGCATGGCAGTGTTAATAATAGGACAGAGATCTTCCCAAACTGTCTTGGATGAGCAGACTTTGCCTATCCCCATTTATTTTTGAAGATAAATTGTAAAATATTTTATCTTACAAAAAAGTTTTAAATTGCTTTAACCTATGTAAAACAAGAAAGGAAGGAGAAGCAGACCCTAAGAAACAAGAGTTTGGAGATAATACAATTTGCATCACGGACCACAGCTTTTTGTGTGGCAGTAAAACCTGTTTGGGTTTTGTGCTCCTATTCTGTGTTTTTTCTTCCTCTGATTTTTTTAAATTTAAAATTTAAGTCCTCCTGCACTCTGTGATCAGGACAGTCCCCTCATTTTATTAACAGGTAAGACACATTCAAAACACCTTCTTTACTTAGTATAAATAAATATGTTATTGTGAAAAAATACTCACGGTACCCAAGTTGAGAAATAACAAAGCTGTATTCTTCAACATTATGGATGCTTGCCAGATCTCCATCCTCTTTCCTGCAAGATGTTAAGGCATCTTTCCATATTTTGGGGTCCCTATGAATTATGTAACAGTGACCAGCATATGACATCCATTGGTCAGGACACCTAATAGGCACATTAGTCTCTGAAAAGAAAAATTGCCATGTAGAGTTTCAGAATTCTGTTCTTAACTGAAGACTAAACATCACATCAGAAAATATTTAACAAAAAAATTGATTATATATTCACAGAGAACAGCAGAGATTAAAAATATGTGCAGTGATAAAAATCTGTGTAAATAACTGAAAGCTGAAACTTCCACACTTAAAAAATACCAGTTGCAAACAAGTGCTTGCCATTTGAGAAAAGACAATTAAAGATAGTTGTCTTTTATACACATGTCTATATGCACATTAAAATGTAAGGTCTGCAGAGTGGTGGTTTGTAATTTTTCTACACTGATGTCAGCACCTCTATTTAACCCCCATGCCATATGTTAAGAACCTGACTTTACAATACATATTTATGAGAGTAATTATTAAAAAAAAAAATAGGCACTTTATGGATTAGCCCATCTGCTAGACTATTGAAAGAAAGAACTGATTATACATAGTCCTAACAGAACCTAAATAAGACAACTACATTTAGGAATCCTTTTCAGAAGCTCAACCGAGAAAATTATGTTGTCAAAATAAACAATTTATGCTTAAAACTTTATTTCAGAATCTTAGTAGACAAGCACCAGGGTATTGCCAACAAACACATTACTGTTCAGCAAACAATTCAACCTTGGGAGGAGTACCACCCGAACATATAAAAAACAGAGTATTTCTGTTTTAGAAACAAATTATGATTCTTGCAGCTCTTTATTTATAATCAGCAGATGGGTTTAGCAAACACCAATATATAGAGTAGAACAAGGACAGCAGGTTTTCAGAAATTCAGCTGGCAAAAAATCGTGTATATATCAGAAGAAGGAGCAATGTGTTTAGCAGTTTGATGTATCCCATAGAAATGTTTAAATAGGCACCCAAACTCATGACCAATCAGGCCCCTGTTGCAGGCACACATCCTGTTTCAACTGGATGATACTGATGATTAATAGATACTTAGTGTCACAACACACATTTCAATTATAAATAGTATCTGCTCTTTCAGACCCAAGTCTAAAAAGTGCTAGCATGTTCTCACAAAGTTCTAGTAAAACTAAACTTTTTCCCCCAGAACAAGGGGCACAATGTTTGCTCAGAGACTTTTCAATTTTGCCAAAGGAGAAGAAAAGTTGAAAGAGAGGGTGGGGGAACCCCAGGAAAACAAACTGAATGTACTGGTGACGTTGGGAGAAACAAGTGAGCACAGAGGTGACAAACGCTGTTGTAGAAATTAGTCCGATGATCAGACAGCTGCCTAATCTGCCTTATAGCTGGTCTCAGCTCTGAGCACATGCATTTTACAGTGCTTTGCCATAAATCAGAGAACACTCACCATACCCTTCTCTAAACTACAAACACTGCATGGAACAGAAATCAGCAGTTCAGATGCAGCCACAGAGTCACAAAGGTATTTGTCCCACTGAGTCCATGAGCATCTCTTTTTCAAATGGATGCAGACTGTGACAATATTACTCACTAAACACTAAAGCAGCTATGGCAGGACAGAAAAACTTTTGCTTGTAGACCCAGTAACAAGAAGGAACATGTTGCGGGCCACAGAAAAGAAAAAAAAAAAAAAGGCTGTTGATAGTCTAGTTTCTTTGGTGTCAGTCTTAGTTACACTGCTGGGGATTTCTTAGTACAAGAAATCTTCAGTTCTTCATTTCAGCTACTCAGCAAAAATTAACTCTGTGCTTCCCCATTCTACTTTTAAAGAGACTACTAGACAACTCAAAGCCATCCAGTTTACTTTCTCCTCCTAATAGAAATAAGTACTACTCCCTGGACATCATTTCACTTAAACAAAGAAAGCAATGCAAATTATCACAAATAAAAGGTAAAAGATAATATTACATTAACATTCAAAGAATATTATTCCAAATGTAAAGCTGATAAATTTATTGGCCTGTAACTGTAGAATAGTTATTCCTTGGAGAGCAAGTACTCTTGTGAAGCTGACTTTCTTTTAAGCTTGAATTTCTGAAGTCTGAAAAATCTCACACTGTTTGACTTGTGTGCCTAAAAGGGTGAAACCACTAGCTGAAGTCAGTCTTATGATTCAGACATTCAAATTTCTCTCTTAGACCTATCCTGTGTGGTCTGATAGGACAGAGATGCACAGCATCTCAGCAATAAAACAGTAAGAGCATTTATTTCTCCTAACTGAATATTTAAAGAAACATTTGTAAACAGTACTTTAGGATCACCACGCTTTGTTGGCTTGGGATGAAATCTACATTGGCAGTGACTTTGTGAAGGTAAATAGACAGCCTTTTCTTTCAGTATTTTGAATTTGAAATTAATACATTTCTATTAATATATTTTGCTGGGTTACAGAACAAATGCTCTGTAGCCCAAAGATACTTTTATGTACAACATGATGTGGCCCCCTGCTGGAAAAAAAATATTTTGTTACAAGAAACATAAAACAAAAACCCAAAACAATCCTTGCTTTGTGAAAATCCATCTGTAATGAAAACAAATATTCTGTAAAGATTTTTTCTCATGTTGTTTTGAACACAAGCATGATTACATTCTGTTGTAAAATGTTCCTCTGTCGCACATACTGCTCTGTTATACACAATTATAACTTCTAGGGTTAAAATTTCAAAGGCTTTTCTTTGGGTTTAATGTCAGATGAACAACTAAGTACATGTATGAATTTGCAATTAATTTACTTCTTAACTCAGAAAAACATAATCTGCCATGAGTTTTCCTTTACACCTTTAGAAGCTGAGGGCACCTAACACCTTGCATGATTCCATGCTTACTCCTTTTATTACTTCCCCCTGTGGGACATTTTGGAAAATATTAAGTGAACTACTGACAATCTCTGATTTATCTGTCACAGTATTTAGTCAGCAATTTCTGTTTAATTGAAAACTTTTCTCTCTGAAATTGCTAGTAAACTGGAGGGTGGAGGTGGGGGCTAGGAATAAAAGCCAAATGCAAAAGAGAGTAATGACCATTAGACACACACCTCCCTTCAAAAAAAAAACCAAAACAAACAAACAAACAAAAACTGAATTTAAATATAAATAATATAGCAGCCAGTCTTAAAATAATAGTACATTTATAGGCATCAGTGATTCAGAACTGAAACCTGAAAAACTAAGCAGTAGCCAGCAAAACAACCTATATAAATGAAACTATTTGGGTATCACTTGCATACAAATACTAGCAAAACTTTACACCTTAAATTAAGAAATAATTTTAACATGCATTGAAGTCTTTCTCATCTAAGGCAATGAATGTACTTGATTTCGATACCAAATCATCAATTAAATTAATTAATATGTATTTCCATATCTAATAAACAAGACACTAGCTCATTCTTGTGTTTTTTTCTCTTAGAAACAAAGCAAAAAATGAGACAGAATTCTCTGTCCCAAGTGTTTTTAACAGGACTGATTCCATATTGGTAAAAGCAGAAAAAAAATAAAAAATATCAACTTTTTTTAAGCCAAGTATCAAACACTGATTTTCCAAAACACCTGCTTTGCAAGTAGTTATGCATATTAATAAATGAACTGGAAATTAGTTACAGTTTAGCCTTCTGCTTCTAAAGTCTATACAAAATAATATCAGTGGATTTAAGAGATACAGTTATGACCTGGAAAAAGAAAGAAACTCATAAAGAACAGAAAAATGGAGTGATGAAACAAAGCAGTAAGTTACGAGATGTTTATAGTACACAGAGAGATAATAAAGAAAGAGGTCAAAATAAATATTATCCCTCTTCTGTCTTTTTAAATTATGTGAGGCAAGTTCCAGAGTTAAATTCTTCTAAAAAAGTGTGTGTACCTATATACATTAAATAATTTCATAAAGAATTATATATGTTTTTATATGTATGCAAATACATATTTTTATATTTCTATATTTATAAGACATGTAAATACATTAAAAATATCTAATTCAAAAGAATTTTAAAGCATTCTTCTATTCTACCATTGTCCTGCACCAACTCATAACTAGTAAAAATTACAGGAAGAAGTGGATTAGTTTCACTTTGTACATGGGGCTTCAGACAATTACATCATTTTAAAAACATTAAATTCCTTTTTTATTATTTTATAATCAGAATCTGACAGTTCTGCTTGGTTTTGGAAAAGAGTTAAATTGCAGAATTATTGAGTTCTCAAGAAGATTGGAGATTATTACACAGGAAGTGAGGAGGCCAGAGCAAAAAGGAAGTACACACTGTTTACTTTTAGAGAAAATCTTGGTCAAACCACAGTCTACAGAGTCCTTTGCTTGGTTTTACCACATGTAATAACACCTATTCCAGTTACAGATAAAAAACATTGGTCATTAAGATTTTGTCGGGGGTTTATTACCAAACCTACCTTTAGGAACAATGAAAGATTCTAAAGTAGCATTTCCTCGTTTACAAATATAGCCAAGTTTCTTATCACATTCCCAGTTCTCCCACTTAGCACCTTTGCCAGGATTCAATGCACCACAGATTTTTCCAGGTTCTGGAGAAGGATGGCCTTAAAAACAAAACAAAACAAAACAAAAACACCAAAAAAAAAAACCCAAAAAAGACTTGCACCACAAATCTCATCAACAACAGACTATAAGCATAATGTTGTTACCCTCCCAACTCTCACACTCCCTTCTGGTCCATGCTTCAACCTTAAAATGCATTAACACATGGACAGCTGTGGTACTCAACAGTCCTCTAGCCTGAAGGGTGAAGTTCATTCTTTTAAGAGATAATTTTTCCATAGCAGCCACAAGTTGCAAATTCATAATTTAACAGCCTCTTTACATGTTCTAAGTCCTGGTAGAAGGTATTATAGTGTATGTGTTTATTTTCTTTGGGATTTTTCTTTTTCTAAATGGAAGACATCTAAGCTCCAGAGGACAGTATTTAGATAAAAAAGTTGTTCTGTAAGTTAGTCAAATTCTGTACTCAGAATAAGAAAAATAATAAGTAATTATTTTGCTGATGTGGACTTCTTGGTCATTTGTCTAAACAACATGACAATATCAGAATATTTATATATTTTTGTTATAGTTGGTTAATTTTAACACTAACAAAAACACCTAGAAGAAAAGTAGAAACTGTAGAACATAAGAAATTTAAGCAATAAACTAGGTGAACTTTTCAAGACCTAATGTAGCATTATTAAACTTAGTATGTTTTTTCTTTAATTTCTGGCCATACACCACTATACTATACTACATAACAAGCATTGGTACTACACAGAACAAACACAACAATATTTTGAGAGTCCAAGATTATTCACTGAAATTTTCTTATAACATTATGATTTCATTACTTTAGATTAATTAAAGTCTTATATTTGCAGTTGTGTTCTACCTTCTTCCCACAGGAGAAATAGTTATGCTTACTTCAAAAATACACTTTTAAATTGTTTCATTGCACAAAAAAGTTCAGCTATTGGCAGCTAGATTGCCAAAATGTCTAAGCAAAATCAGTTTCATTTAAACATTGGTAACAGTTCCATTTTTTAAATATTTATTTCTTTAGAGCTAGTGAGATAGAAGAACAAAGTTTTCACAAATTCCCTTAAAATGTGTTAATGGAAAAGCAGAGTTTTTAAACATCCACTGTAATGGGGATGAGCCAGAGGGAGGCTATGTCAACATAAAATCATGAAGGAGATAGCACAAGTATAAAATATGTTATATGGACATAAGAGTAGAGTGTTATCTTTGAATGAAATTAAGGAATATAAGGAGTGAAGGATAAATGGAGTCCATTTTTGTTACATCAAAACCCATCTTAACTATTTAATTCTTTACAGTATAACTGAGAACTGTCTGCAGTTTTAACAACCATGAACAGCTTTGGCTCCATCTCACCACTGTGTTTCCCCCACTCCTCCTTGCATGCAGATCCTCAGCAGTGCACTTGGATGACATTCCTACAAATATCTCCACAGCAACTTGCAGTTCAGCTGTTTGCCTTCTGCTCACTCCACTGGAGAGCTATTTATAAAGTAGTTCAATTCACTCTTCAGAGCTTGCCTGCTCAAGAAGTTTGTGCACCCAAAATGTGCTTTTGGCCTTATCTACACAAGGAAGGCCCTGGGTGATATACTGGAGCATGCACTTATAGTTACTGATTATTAAATACTCAGTGAAGATAAAGAGCGTTTACACGCTCTTTAAATTTACTTTAAATTGGCCTCCAAAAGCTCCCTGAATAGCCAGTAGGAACAAGGCAAGGGTCCTGCAAAAAAACACTCTTACACAGCCACTCTGAATAGTCAACCAGAGATGCAGCCCTTCACCATGAGCACAGATGGCACAGAAACTTTTTAATGATGCCACCAGAGTTCAACACTGCAGCCACAGCTGGAGTAGCTGGGCTTTTGTCAGAGTAGTCTAGCCTCAGATGTTTGGTTTGAAAGATGTTATTGCTGAGGGTAGGTTAATCCCAAATGAAACTGAAAAGGTATTCTTGAAAAAAAAAAGAACAAAAACAAATTGGAAAGGAATTTGAAGAAAAGGGAAAAACAAACAAACAAACAAAAACAAAAAAAACCCACCATTGATCGCTCTAATCTCACAAATGAAGACTTTTACAAGACTTCTTATGTATTCAGAAATAAATTAGGAAGATATGCAAATTAAGTGTCAATAGATGACTTAAAACTTTCTTATGGATTTTGAGCCTACCATTTACATTATGAATAATAAATTAAGCCTGGGGCATATCTCTGTCATAAGAGCCATTACTCACAGTGTTCATAACCACAATCAGAGTCTTTAAGTGTCAAGACAAGCTCAATAATTGCAGGAGAATAATGCACTAGAAAAGATATTTGTTACACAATGACCAAATTTTTGCCTCTTGAAATGAGTAGCAATGCATTTAACCTTACCTGGCACCCAGTTTAGGTACCGAAAAGGAGCACCACCAGCCCATTGCCATCCACTGTTGAAATTCAAACTGTTGAGACCAAACCAGAGAGCTGAACTCAGTGTGCGAGTCAGACCTAGGTAACAGAGACAGAGAGAGAGACATTGGAAGTTCACAGCAAGAAAAAACACTCCTCAAAACTTGAGAGGTGAATTCTTGTTAAGCCTTCTCCTTTGTCCTAGTAAAAGTTTTAACAATTTTCAGCATTCTAGTTATGGTGGTTATGCTAAACCTGATAAACAGGTCATCTTATATTTGTCAGTTTCACTTTAGAGTTTTGACAAATTTAGGTTTGGAGAATTTTATTACAACAAAAAACATAATTAGTCTGCTACCATTGATAACAAACATCAAACTTGGTTTTTCAGAACTATAAAATATTAAATGGATAAGATTGCAGAAACGGTCACAAAACCAAAAATCAGTTTTCTAAAATGAAAGATATTGTTTCCCAGTGTATATTTTCTCTTCCATGAAATTAACAAGTGTGAATTTCACAGTGTAAAAAACCTGTTCTCATTTATCAAAATACATTAAAATGCAATCACTGCAAACACCATCTTTTTAACATAATATCTTGTGCATTTTTCAGACTGATCTGATTTCAGTTCTTTAGCCACTGTTAAGTCAGGCTTCAAAAACAACCAGTTCAAATTTATTTCTCTAGCTCTGAAGAGCTCTTAGAAATATCATGCTTATATATGGCTCTGCTGAACATTATTCATAGTCAGTACTAATCAATTGTCTATCTCTGCTCTTAGTATAAGGCTTGGAAGTGCAGATGGATGCCTGCTGATTTTTTTAATTTGTGTGTTTATACATAGTTCACAGAAAATCATTGTGCAATATGTATAATTTGTTTCTGTTTTTACTGATAGCATCATGTCAAGATGTTCTAATTTAGCTGTCTTTGACAGCACAACAACAGGAAGCACTTGAAGCATGGCAAACTTAAAAGGCGAGGTAGTTGACTGGAAAGAATTGTAATCTCAGACCTGCTTTTTCACCAACACATTAACATGCCCTATTACTTCTACTGGACAAAGAATTTATGGTTAGGAGAACTGAGAGCTGAGCATGACAGGAAGTCCTAGTACTGCCGGGGTAGCTGTATAATGAAGAACTGATCTACACCTACATTTAGCAGCCATATCTATCAGTTTGCAATTAAAATACATCAACTAATAACTACCTTCTGTGTCAACACCAGTTTGCTCCTTTGAGCACTAATTTCAACAATAATTTTCTCAGAATCATTTAAAAAACAACCCCTGTTTTGACCAAATTTTTAAATTGAAAACAGAAGTTTAGACAAAAAAATTGTTCATAGCAGTAAAAATACATTTCTTAGTCCTCTAAGATTGATGGATTTGATCGATGGACTACTAGATAGATTAGAAATTGGCTGGATGTCTGCATCTAAAAAGATACAGTCAATGGATTAGACTCCAAATGGAAACCAGTAACAAGTGGTGTCCCTATAGGGTCTGTATTGGGACCAATATTATTAATATCTACATCAATCACATAGACAGGGGGATTGAGTGCACTCTCAGCATGCTTGCAGATGACACCCAGCTGAGAGGTGTTTTTGGCTCATTTGAGGGTAGCAATGGCAACCAGAGGGCATCTGACAGGCTTGAGGAGTGGGCCCATGCCAACCACATTAAGTTCAACATGGTCAAGCACCAGGTCCTATCCCTGGGTCATGGGAATTCACAATATCAGTATGGACTGGGGGATGAATGGATTGAGAGCAGCACTGCAGAGAAGGACTTCAGGGTGCTCATGGATGAAAAGCTGAACATGATTCAGCCATGTGCACTCACAGCCCAGAAAGCCAAACATGTCCTGGGCTGCCTCCAAAGCAGCGTGGCCTTCAGGGCAAGGGAAGGGATTCTGACCCTCAGCCCTTCTCTGGGGAGAATGCTCAGAGTGCTGCATTCAGCTGTGGGGTCCCCAGTACAAGAAAGGCAGGGAGGAAGTCCAGAGGAGGCAAGAAAATTCATCAGAGGGCTGAAACACCCCTCCTGTGAAGAATGGCTGACAGAGCTGGGTTTGTTTAGCCTGGAGAGGAGAAGAGACCTTATTGTGGCTTTTCAATAAATTAAAAGAACTTCTAAGAAATTTGGAGGAAGTCTTTTTACTGGGGCTTGTAGTGACACAACAAGGGATAAGTTTAAAAATACAAGAGGGTAGATTTTTTGATATAATTAAGGAATTTTTTACAATGTTGATGTAACAGGTTGCCCTGAGAAATTGTTCATCTTTGAAAGTGTTCAAGGTAAGGTTAGATGGTACTTTGAGCAACCTAGCTGAATCCATGATGGTACTTTGAGCAAGCTAGTTGCATCCATGATATCATGGCAGAGAGGCTGGACTAGATGATCTTTAAATGTTCCTTTCTACCCAAACCGTTCTCTAATCCTCTTATTCTACACATTTAGAGAGTACAACATATAGCTTATGGTATAGAATATTTTATCTTTCAACTCATGTACTATACTCAAAATATTTTCTAATCTATTTAATAGATGAATCAGTGAACTATTTATTTCATGTTTGTACAGAGGCTGAGAAGGTAATAAAGAGGACTTTCTCAATGTAGAATGTAAATATGTTCAAGTAAAATTTAAGAATTTTCTCATAGGAGAAGTGTGAAAACTCTTTCCAAAAATATTGAAGGAGATTGAAACTGAAAGAGAATATTTATGAGTTCTTTTGTTTATTAGTTCTTTTTCTTTTCATATTTTAGGATTTACTGAAGATGCAATGGCTTTAATGAAATAGGCAAAACTGCTGACTAATACACACTACAAGAAGAGTGCAAAAAGGATACAATCTCGGTGTCTACATCTTCAGTTTACAAACTACTTTGCATTTTCTGCATTCCAACATTCATTCTTTATTGCCTGCATTACTTAATTGTTGTAGTTTTTATGTCACTATTAGTTTATGCGATATTTAATAATGATAAAATAAATATTATCTGTTCTATATTTTCAGATTAATTATCCAATATAACTATTTCAATTTACTAATTACCAGAATTGAACAAATATAATCTTCATGATGGAACATGCCATATTAGTGTCACTGTTGCAATAATACACTTTTTTAAGGAAATAATGAATAATAGTAACCTACCTGTCAGGTATGTTTGTTCGTGTAACTCTGTGATGCTCAATAGCTCTGCCTTCTGCTGCTGACAACTTTTTCTTGCCTGATGCCATTTCAGAGCTGTCTCAGAGTTTATCTGGTACTGGACATTTGTTAAAGGGTCTGTGTTCCATAAATCATTATTAGTAACTATAGGAGAAATGAAAATGCTGTAAGTCATCATGAAGACATAGCCAGATAAAATATACCAAAAAATTGCATAGCAAAAGACACAAAATGCCTGAACACTGCTATAGACAAATGGTTTGAAAGGAATCCTGAGGTTCTCTAATGTACTATTAGATCCAGGACAGTAGACAGAGAATTAAACAAGGTCACCATTTTCTCTGGTACAAAAGAATCTGCTGTTTAAGACAAACAATAAGTGGCTAAAAATGTGCTAAAAGAGTTGATTTGTGAATGTGGAGAAAAATACTAAAAGCTTTCTGGCTGATGCTAGCTAAGGTGTATATAAAGCTGACCTTTTTTCTGAGATAAACCCCAAAATTTTTTACTAATTTGGGTCACTCTGTAAAGTAGCTATGGATTTTCTTACTGTGATTATGGCAATAAGACCCAATTACTAAATGCAAAGCTGACATCAGCATCAATCTCACATTTCCCTGCAATTCCTGATTTCTTTAGCATGTTTCTGACATAGCATGACTTTCTCCTCTGCCACATAGCCTGACTAAACTCCTTGAGTACCTGAACCTGGCACTTTAAGGCAATGCCAGTGAAGGCATCATCCAAAAGGACCCAACAATACAAACTGCCCCAGAAGGTACCACGCTCTTTACACTGCTGCAGTCTCTCCTGCCTCATCTCAATTGTTTCTCCACAAACAAGCAACAGAAAACAGTGTGATCTTGATCTGCCAAAAATGGAACCTACGTGAGGTCCCAACAGTGAGCTAAATATCACACAAAGGGAATAAAGATGCATGACTAAAGCAGAACACAGCAGAGATCACTGCATGTATGCCAACAAGGAGAAAACAACTGAATTCTTGAAGCCTTTATCAGCTTCTCAAGTTGCAATCTGAAAAAATTGAGAGAAAGAGGTCTTATCTAAATTCAAAGTGCTCAGAATACTTCAGTCTGCAAATAGAGGGAAACAGTAAAATAAACAAAACTCAAAATAAAGCATGATACATGTTAAATACCAGGAGGTCACGTACCAGTTCCACTTTTTCCTGTATTAAATCTGATTATCTATAGGTAATAAAAAGTGCTTCTTTTCACATTGTCTTTATTTTAAAAAGAAATCAAATATAACCTACTGTAATAATGACATTTCTGTAAAAATGGGAACTTTCATATGATTATCATTATCCAAAAATCAACTTCTGTCAAAAATATTTTATAACTATCAGAATTAAAACTTCTTTGCTACACTATGTTCTAAAAGAACATAAATCTCTATGTACAAGCTTGGGTTAAAATTAATATTGCAAAAATAGTAAAATCTATAATTCAATAAAGAAAACTGGCTCTGACTTGATAGTAAGGGGTTCATAAATCTTGTGCAATTATTACAGAGAAGAGGTAAACAAGTCTTGGGCATTCATCCAACCTTCCACCTCAGTTGCCCAGTCTCATAATTTATAGCTGACTTCCATATGGTGCTCTCTTGTAGAATTTTGGCCTGTCATAAAAATCAAACTCATTTCTAATTCTTGGAAATTTTGCTTTTAAGACATTTGAGTTTTAAGAGCTCAAATGTCTTTGCAGAGCAGGAAATTGGAAAATCTATATGCTATTGTTTGGAGCTTAGTTGCCCAGAAAAACAAAAAGATGAAACGCTTTCCTGGGATAATATATTTTAGCACCTAAACTAAATTAATGTTAAATCACACCTGTCCACAGTACATATGTAGAAAATTAATAAAAATCTGAACGCTATCCCTACACAGAAGAATTTAGCATACATTTATTTTCTACAGATTTTGTTTCTGTCCTAGTCACCTGCATTTTTATGCATTGCTTAGATGGGTTTCTGAGTCCTTCAATTCATTCATCAAGAGAGGCCTCAATGGACTTTTTCCCACTGGAACAGAGCTCTAAGTACACACTGAGTCATTTTCCTGATGGTCTTACACTGTGCTACTTGTTTTCTTCCCCAACACTTTCTTTGAAGTGCAGTATACAGTTCAAAAAGACATGGTGCAACCTATAAAGAAGCAGCATTTCCTACGCTACTAAAAATCGTTTGCTGTAACAACACTGCTCAGTTCCTTTCCTTGGGGTTCAAGCTTCTGCTGTTACTGTCTCAGCATCTCTTTCTAAATCACCAAATAAAGGGTCATAATCACAATTATGTCACCTCCACTGATAAAATTTCTCCACCTCCATTGATGACAATAACTGTCACAAGTACAGTCTCATGCCCTCTTTATTTTGGAGAACATCTGAGGTGGTTTTGGTCACAGTGAGAAGTGACTGGGTCAGCCACAGACATTTCACTGAAGGTCCTGGCCCCAGTATGAGCAGCTGCAATTGTTTGCATCACATATTTTCATGCTTGCACCCTTGGTCCATTTAAGAAGATAGTTTAGGAAACAACACTTTATTCTTAGTAAATAAACTTTAACACACACAGACTTAAACATTCTATTTTAAAGGTGTTGTTGAAGTTTATTAACTTATCACACGCTCATATCTCATTCATTTCTCTTTCATAGGGATGACTAAAACTTCTGCTACCATGGTCTGTCTCTCACTAAAATATATGACCCGAACTTGAATATTTTATAGCTAGTACTGAAGAATCAGGAAGGAAACATGCAGGCAGTCAGCATAAAGCAGCTTTTTCCACAAACAATCACTGCCATCTGAATGGATTTCCTTGAATTATGCTAAAGAATTAAACAAAATTTTAATGATGCCTCCTATTTGTTGTACTCAAATAATACTATGCAGGGAGTATTCTTAAGTCAACTTTGCATGTGCTTTATTAATGGGATTGATATTCCCAGCATGTATTTATTATCTTGAAAATTATACTGGCATAGGAGGAAAAAAAAGTGCAGTTTTTATTTGCTGAAATACTGAATGCAACATTCATGGAAATCAGGCAAGGACACCAGTATTTTGTCATCAAACCAGTTAAGATCAACCCAAACAATTTTCTTCACATCAAAGGAAAGGCATATTTTTCTCCTTAGTGCTGCTTGCAGTCAGCTTGAGCTTTACAGAAAAACACAATAATAAAGAAGAAAGGAGGGAAAAGTGCTACCCTTCTCAGCATGACAGAAGAAGCAGCTTGCAGACAAAATGTTTAGTACATATTTTACAGAAGTCCAGAGAAAATTCATTAAAATTTAAAAGAATTCAAATACATGTAGACATAAATTACTCCCATTTACTTAAAGTAAGATCAATATTCCTAAATAAAGTTCTGCATTTTGATAATACTGCCTTTTAAACACCAAGTATACTCAAACCAGGGACTTTAGAATACAAATAGTTCTAATTGAGTTAAAAGACAGAACTAAAACATAGTACACAGCTGGGAAACACTGGGATGTACTAAAGAGTTCATGTCTAAAAGGCAACTCATTCTCCAAAGTAATTTTAATTTTCAATTAAACTGTATCCTAGCTTTCAGTTCCACTTCACAGATTTCTACTTTTTGACCTTTTATATATACTACTTATGCTAATGTAAGCATCTAATTGACATTCTATTTAAGTAAATTGTGTACATAGAGATTCTAGAATACAATTAACATACTTTCACACAAAAATAATTGGGCAATGTTTTTTTATGCTGGGTCCTATATTTGGATATTTATGTTGCTCTTAAAAGGAAAGCAGGCTAAACAGAAGCATTTCAAAGTGGAAAGTACATGTTATGGACATATTTCCAGGCAGCTGAGTAACAGCACATTTTGTGAATGTAAAAAGCTTACATTTCATTGGGCAAAATCCATACTTCCTGTCAACATCATAGTCCGAAGTGGTTCCACACCAGAACCAGCCATCTGATCTGCCAGCATCTGTACAGTCAGCATACCATTTACCACCAAACTTAAAAGGAAATACACAAGGGGCTCCATTGTCATTTCCTTTCACTGTGTAGGTATCTAAGGAGACACAACAATTCAAAAATGTGTAAAAATGAATTAGCATGGGATATATAGGAGTTCGTCTTTATGATCCTGTTAAAAATATTACAGCAAGGAAAGCTTGCTAGCTTAGTATACAACTCTACTAGAATTGGAACATTCATCATTTTGCTCTAGCTCTAAGCTGATACTCAAGTTCACAGTGAGACAAATTTTTGTTGCTAAGGGAGACAACAGACCACAACTGACTGAGCTAAGACAAGTACATATCCATGCTGAATTTCCCATACATAACAATCAAAAGTATAAAACACACATAGTTATGCCATTTTTTAAAGCACAAAAGATCATTGAGTGTTCTGTCAATAACTCAGTCAACTGCTGATCATTTTGGACATAAAAGAGCATGTCCATGTAAACTTGAAAGATACATGCCATAAAATGACTCCAAGATATTATGACCAAATAAATTTTTTATTTTCATCTAAAGATACTTTTTGTTTTATCAGAAACCTGACTCCATGGAACTTATGAAAGTAACTAAAGCAGCTTTCTATGTGTGCACATGTAATGTACATTCAATGATGGAAGGACATATAGGGAAACCGGACTTAAGGATTTTTGGAGAGCTGACATACCAGGGTCACTGTCTCACAGAGCTGCTAGAAAACAGAGGAGGAAGGAATAGGAGGACATTATTACATCTCTCCCCTGCCTTCTTTCACATAATTTGCTTTGCTAGGGTTCTATTCTGGCTTCTGGATAAGGATTAGTACTGTAATCAGCCATAGCATAAACCACAGAAACCTCTGAGACCATTTCTCTATATCAAAGAATACTAAATGGAAAGTCAAATGTATTTCCAGATACTTATAATGAATATATAGAGAGATGTATTATACATAACTTTTTCAAATTTAGCTATTTAAACTATCTTATTTCTTTGTCTCACATTTTAGCACCAACTTTGAGACTCCCTTCAAACACCTAGGAAGATATCTGCAATACAGTGGAAACAAAGATATCAAGAGTTAACTAATATCTTATTGCCAGTCAATATTTGCACCCCAAGGAAAAAAAATATAATCAACAGACTAAACACTTGCACTACATCTTTCTGTTCATATGTAGTAAATAGTAAAACCTATCATCAACTGCTGTGTAATAGTTATACATGTTTTGAATAACTATAGAATTTTTTATTCTCTCTAAATGAATCACTATCATGCGTGGTTAATAATCTATCAGCACTTTGACAAGTTTGACAAAAACCAAATTGAACTATTCTAAAAACAAAAAGTGCATCCACTCAAGTATTGTTGATTTCACCTGAATCCACACTCACTGATCACTAATAAGATTAAGGAAATTCTTCTACACATATAAAATATTTTAATTATCTACACCTAAAAATGAGTTTGAAAATACAGAAATTAATTTACAGAACTTTACCTTCATAGCCTCGAGAACACAGATCGTCTGTGGTTCCGTAGACTTTCCACCTACTCCATAAACCAGATCCCTTGTACAGCATAATATTCCTTTCCTGTTTGTTTCCATAGTTGAAAAACAAATCTTCCCCTTGGATTGCAAAGAGAGTCTCATTTCTGCATTCCCATCGCTGAAGTTCACTAGCCTTGTCACAAGGGTACAGAGTGATCGGAACCCAGTCTTTCTTCGAAGGCACTCCCAAGCACAATTTGAATGCTATGCTCATAAGCTGGTGATCTGAGACCCACCTGAATTTTTGTGACTCATTTTCTTGAACACAAGGAGCAGTAGTCACTGAATTAGAACTCAGAGCCAGTACACAACGCTTGTGATCTTCATTATATATTAAGAAGGTGCTGGTATCTGTAAGAAAAAAAAAAACACTGGAATTATTTGGTTTGAAGTAAGCTTACCTGCCAGCTAAATGAATATGAATCTGGACACTCCTCTTGGTGTGAAAATCTCATCATCTGTTTAGCAAAAGAAGGTGTGGACTACACCTGTTGAAGTGGCTGTATGCAACTAGTTCAGATGTGAGGACATTTCAACTGTTTTGTGTCAGTGAAAGCATCTATACACAAATGTACAAGGCAGCAGAGGTGTAGACCTAGTGTCTCCTGTAGGTTTAAAGCATGGGTTAAAGTGAAGAGAGAAAGCACATTCATGGTGTTAATCCAAGCTGCACCCATGGGAATTACTGCAATGAGGGAGCTTGGACACTGCAGAGAGCAGATCCTGACTGAACTCTCCAGCAGCACTGGCTCCCTGGTGTGAGGAGATGACAACAGTCACTAAGTTCTTCAGGCTCCACTTCCTCACAGTGGGGAGCTCTGTTCTCAAAAGTCCAGCTAAAATCTTTAAAGTATTAACTGAGGAGAAGGACATGTTTTTAAGCTTTATACTCAAGCTTCTTGTAGAATATATTTCTTTTTCAATTCAGTCATCAGTGACTTCTTTCTTGCATCTCTCCATTATGAATGAAATACCAACAGCAGTGGGATTTGCAATCACCAGTTATGCCTCTCCATGACTTGTGAAAATACACAAAGCTCTTCATACCTTCCCAGGTTATTTCTCCCTCTTACTAAATAGTGCTTCATAGCATGCATTTTCACGTATTCAAGGGTCGTTATAAAACTGTAGCTGTTTGAAAAGCTTTAACATCTTTTGCACTTGGTTATGCTATGAGTGTAACATTTCTGAGCCAGTCTTGCTGAAAGACTGAAAATTTCTCCTCTCTGATCCACCTGAGATACATTTTAGCACAGTAACTTTATCATGCTCTTTCGCATAAGGTAACAGGATGCACAACATTTTAAAGCTGTATTTTAGCTGGGCTATGAGACAGGAAGGAGAAATATAAATTTATGTGACTCTGGGGATTAAAGCTATTTAAAACACTATTTATTTTAGTGTATGATTACCAAACTGAACAAATTGTATAATGGAGAAATAGTTAAGGGGAAAACAGGTTAACCACAGTAAATCTTCCCTTCTCTGCTGAGGCTCTAATGTGGAAATGATCATATTTTTCTGCAGAAGAACAATCTGGGAACAAATAACCTCTGTCTCAGAGGAAGAGCTGACCTAGATGTATCTCATCTATAGTTCAGCTTCCTTCTCTTGTCCTTTGGCTTCCAACTCACTGGGAAGTAATGTAAAACTGATGAGCACTGGAGGCAGAAATTGTTGTCTTTTGCCAATCTGTTTTGCTCACAGACAATACAAGGAAATATATAATTATCACTGCTGGTGACAACTTCTTTTTATTCTGCTTTTCGACTAGCATTTATCACAATGTTATTGTAAACTAATATATGCAGTGCTTGCAACTCTCCTTTTCCTGAAATCATATTTAAAGTTTCTGGATAAAAGAGATGTTAAACAATTTCACATGTGTAGAAAACACTACCTGATTTTTCAAACTGCTAAAATTGTATTTGTGGCCTAAAATAACAGTCCTTATTTTCTTGTTTTTGTGGTGTTAAAGAGAAGATGCTATTTACATGAAAAAAGTATTCCTAAGTAAAAAATCTGAATTGATGCATCCAAGCATGAGAAGGTGCAGAGTTTTGGCTTCAGAAATGAAGTTAAAGAACTCAACAAAGCAGTCTGGCCAGTGGGGATGGAGAGGGAGACAAAACTTAGGCTCTCTACTATTCCAACTGTGCCTTTACAAAGCATTAGAAGGGTGTAAACCCAACACACCTGTTTATACAAGGGTTTATTCCCAGTGCAGGGAGTAGTACATGTGCAAGCAGCTAAAAGGCCAACACAGCCAAGGAGACATTGAAAATAAGCTGACACCATGAGAATGACACAACAGGAGAATGGAACAAGAGGCAGCAGGATGCTGGAGAAACTGTGGCTGAGGCTTTAATTGCATGATTTCCTTTCCCCCAGTGTTGCTCCTCCTCTAGTCCATGGCCATTGAGCAGACTCTTAACTTAGTGCTGTATTGCTCAAGTTTACAGCTTTCTTTCTGTTTATTTTGTTGCCTTGCTCACCAAAGAGGATTCCCATATGACAGTATCTGTGTGAGTAATTAGGTAGTCTAGAAGAAACAAGCCAGGTATTTGTGCAGCATTTCCTCTGCCCTGCCAAGTCCTCTCTGTAAACACTTGATACCACTCTTGCCAACATGATGAGCTGTATCTGTGAAATGGGCTGAACAGAATCACACATAGCACCATTAGCTGTTTCACTGCTCTGCAGCAACATTTGTTATAGAGCTCTGCAGCAGGTGCTGCTCTTCACTACAGATGAACTGTGGGTGGAACACTTTAAGGTCCACCACAGTGTGCTCATGAGTACCGCAATGTTAGTATTTTGAATTAAACCTATTTCTAACAGTAATTCATAGTTTGAAAATTACTCTTGGAAGGAAGGTCTTTAAAATGCATAAGAACACGTCAGGCTTAGGAAAAACACTTCACCATTACCAGTGCACAACCAGCCATTCAAGGAGATCTAGCATTTTTTCCCTCAAATGTCCCAACCAGATCCCAAAAGAATTTTTCTCACAGGCTTTAATTTGTCTTTACTCACCACACTGTGACTATTTGCCTTTCTGTCTTTGGCCCCAAGTTGTATCTTAAGAATTGTACCGAGCACTGCAGAATCTCACTGGACAGTATCGTTTCCACAGTAGCGATTTCCAGAATGCCAAACTGACTTCACATTCTGCAGCATTTCCAAACCGTCACAGACTATGTGAGCGTAAATAAGGGAGTAATTTGTGAAGCCAGTGAAGTGCTACCAGTGTTAAACACTAATGGAGAGCACCAGAAGAACAGACCCAAAGCCAAAAGAGGAGAGAGGCAGATGCAGGTAGGATGATTCTCTTCTCTACACAAGGTCTTGCCTACCAGATGGCCTAAACTGATTGCTGCTAGTTGCATGAAGGAAGAAAGGTCACAAGGCAGTGCTACAAAGATTTGCATCACTAGGTCTCAATCTAGAGAGCAGAGGACACTGAAAGGTTTTCTGAAAGGGCAGGTATAAACTTTCACTGGAAAGTAGCTGTGAGCTGGAAATCATGGCAAATCCCAGAGTAAATGGGTACAAACTCCAGGTATCACCAAACAACACAATTCCCCCTGTTCTCACACTTCTATCCATCCCAGCACATCAGCTACCCTAATATTCCCCTATGAAAGCCATCTGTCAAAAGCAGGGCCCATCCAAGAGGGCTGGAGGACAGGCAGAGCCCCAGTGCCAGGCAGCTCCGCAAACCTCTGCGGTGAGCAGGTCTGTGAGGGAAAGCTGGGTGCTGCTGTTCAATCAATCGGGGCCCGATCGGAGCGGTGGGGGAAACTGAGGCAGCGCCGGTGACAGCCCTGTTCGGCGTCCAGAGCGCCACGGGCACCCCAAAGGCCGCCCCGCCGGGCAGCTTTACCCGCCGGACACCTCTGGATGCGGCCGGGGAAGGGGTCCCGAGGGGAGGCCGCCTCCATCAGCCGCTGCCCCGCCGCAGAGAGGCGGAAAAGGGTCCTGGGCTTCAGCTCCATCTCCACGCCCGCCGCAAGCCCCAGGTCAGGCTGGGCTCGGTGCCCGCTGTGAGCCCTCGTTTTTCGGCTCGCCTGCCCGCACAGCCCCTGCGGGCACTTACCCAGCAGCGGAAAAGCCCGCGGGAGGAGTCCGAGGAGCAGCAGCAGCACGGAAGGAGCCATCGCAGAGAGGGCGTCCCGCCGGGCAGGTCCGCCGGCTTGCGAGGGCTGGTGGATCGGGGGAAAACTCTGCGCTCCAAATGATAAGGAAATATCCTGTCACATGGGGCGTTTTGAAATAACAGGAATTCGCTGTTCAAACTTTGCCTTCCTAAGCTGATTTTTTTCCCTTAGCGGAGGGAAGAGCCGCCTTCAGGCATGTGCAGGTGATAAAGCGGTGATAGCTGAGAGGAGCGTTCCTTTTTTTGTTGTTGCTGTTGTGAGTGGCGTTTGTGTTTTTCCTTTTATCCCCTTTGCTACTCTGACAGCGTTGCATCTGGGTCACTGGTTTGTCCTCCAAGAAAATTAGCAAACCGCGCTCTGGGGGGAGGAGGATATCCCTCTCCTTTTCTTCTGGGGTAAGGAAAGGAGAAGGATAAGGGTTAAGAAACTCAAGACTCAAAGAAAAGCCCTGCTGGAACGCCCGGGTTGCTCCTCAGATCGAGGACTGCAGAAGGAACAGAGACCTACTTTTGGGAGCCCGGGATCTGGGCTGCGCCCCCGTCCCCAGCACTCCTCCCCCGGGCGCCAGCAGTCGCTCCGCCGGGAGCGGGGCGCGGCCGGGCTCGGGGTGTCAAGGAGGGGACGAAAGGGACGAGGAAGTCCAATAAATGAACTTCAGCCGATTTGTTTGTTTATTCTGCCGACAGTGACGGCACTATCTGCTGTTAGCAGGACTCAAATCTTGCTCGTGAATCAGTGCGGGAAACACAAAATCTTGCCTGCCAGCTGGGTTTCACAAGCTGAAGCATCTTTTTGAAAAGGTGCCTTTAGAGCACAGTCCACATTGGTGATTTTACAGCTTCTTGCTGTGCTGGATACAAAGCAGCATGCTATTTCTTTGAGATCACCACCAATATACAGTCTGAAGAGTCCCAAATGGGTTGAAAACATCAGTCTTACTGTTGTTATAGAGTGGCTTTTGTAACATATGGGACTTACTGCGTGTTTTGATGGGGCATACCTGAGGCTCAGGGAGCACCTTACTGCTCCCTACAACTCCTGGAAAAAAGGACATAGTGAGGTGGGAGTTGGTCTCTTCTCCCAGATGACAAGTGACAGGACAAGAGGAAATTACCTAAAGCTGAACCAGGGGAGGTTTAGATTGGATATTAGGAAAATATTCTTTTCTGGGAGAGTGGTCAAACACTGCAACAGGCTGCAACAGGGAAACGGTGAATAACCATCCCTGGAAGTGTTTAAAAATGTGTAGATGTGTTTAGAGGCTTGATTTATTGCTGGGTTTGAAAGAGCCTGATTAATGGTTGGACTCAATGATCTCAGAGGTCCTTTCCAACCTTAAAAATTCTATGATTCTGTGAACCTGTAAGGCATCAAACCTAGCATGTGTATAAAGCCTGTTGTGCAGCAGGCTGTACCCCTGTGTTGTCATGCACTTGGAAATCTCTAATAAGTATTGAAAAATTGTTCAAATCCTCCTTGATGGAAGTTCTGGGTGGGAAAGTACAGCACATCCAGGGAAACACCAATATAAGATTAATGTAGAAAGAGGCAGAGTAAGAAGGTACTTTGACATTATAAGAGGAGAAGAAACAGTGGAGATGAAAAACAAGCTTATTTCTGAAGTCAATGAAGCTCCTGTTAACATTAGAAAGGATTCCAGCCAGGCACTTCAGCTGTGCTGGGTTCTCTTGTGGGCTATGTGAGGGGAGTAAAGAGGAAGTGGTTCATAATTTCTCTTAACATCTGTAGAACTACAAAAAGGTCAGGAACAGCCTGGCCCAGGGACAGGAGGTGGGAAGTATTTCAGCCATAATCAGCAATGTTCTGTATTGTTGTGTTGATGAATTGTCATGTGTGAAACTTAATCTCTTGCTGTAGTGTATGGGAGATATTTATTTTTCCCTAATTATTTGCAAAACCCAAAAGCTCAGAAAACATCTAGTGCTAAAAGGAACAAGCCAGAAGCTTCGGAAAAATGCTGCTGCTCTAATAGAACACTGCTATTTCTAAGACTATCACTGAAAGCTTGGGTATTCTTTTGGCTCAAGATAAACAGAGAAGGAAGATTGTATGTGAAGTTCAATCTCAATGTAAAAAAATAAAACTGCCACCAAAGTCTTTACATGGTTATGTAAGACTGATTATGTGATAGTTATGTACAACAAAGGGTGCATGTAACTTAAGTGAATATATGTGTTGCAGAAATAGGCAGAAAAAAGGAACTAAGTAGATGAGTAGTGATACCTCTTTGGCTGTCAGTGGCTGTGTGAGGATTGAGCTATTCTCTGAAGTGACAGAAGAAACTACAGGCTATTCTTGGAGTTTCTCAAAACTGAACTGGACAAGATGATGAGCAACCTGATCCATGTCAGCCCTTCTTTAGAGAGGAAGTCATGCCAGGTGACCTCCCAAGGTCTCTTCCAACCAAATTGAGACTTCAGAAGAGTTACTTCCGAGTGAAGTATTGCAGCCTCCCTTCCTTATCTGAAAACTGCTTTTTTCTCATTGTCCTTTACACTCACTGGATATATATACTGGAGGTATTACCAGTTCAAAGCCATTTTGACACAGACATGTTTGATACACACCTATATGTTTATGTGTGTATACATATGTCTACACATTCCCCCTGTCTAGAGCAGCACAGGTCTTGATGAGCTTATTCATGTAGCTTCTGTGTCATCTGCAGCACACTCATCAGTAATTGTATCTGGATCTGGCTCCCTCTTTCATTCTGAATCATATATTCTGATCTGATATAGTCAAAGAGAAA